AGAGAAAGCAGTGGTTTGATAACATCAAGGAATGGACAGGTCTCACATATTCAGAAGCCAAAAGATTAGCACAGGATAGAAACAAATGGAGAAAGACAACAAGAAGATGTGCAGATGTGGTCGCCAATCGCCAGCAACTGACGGTGGCAGCCAGGTAGCTATGATGGAGCCTGATCATGACGCGGAAATGACGACAACACGCACATATGACATCGACGACAGACTGGATACTGCCGATCGAGTGCCGACACCATCGACGACTACATCGATGCACCAACAGCAGACCACGTCGGATAAAGAACTGCGGATCGGGATCGGGATCGACGGGCAAACAACACCCATGACATCGACGGACAGCACCCAAGACCATAATGAGGACATCGTTGACGTCGATCGCTTGACCCGGATTCCTTTGCTAGATAACTCAAACTCTGACACCTGAACTTTCGACTATCCTGTTGTGTGTTTTTTTTCATACTTCTAAAGTGCTCCGCTGCTTTAACGCATCAAACAGCTATAGTTTGTTAGTTTCAATAAGTTTGGTAAGTAAAATACCTCTTTTCATTGTTCCAGACTGTAAGTGAGAACGAGAGATCGAAATAAGAGTAATTTGATTTATTACTCCCTTAAAATGAGCGTAGTTTTATATTTCCGTTACACCATTGGGAAGGGAATTCCAATGTTTTACGACATATTGCAATAAAGCGAATTTCCAATACTACCTACTCTTTCTGGTAAGTTAAAGTTGAATCGGCTATTTCTTGTATTATAAACATGTACGTCAGAAACAAGATCGAAGTTGGATCGAATATAATGATTCGACCTAGTATGATATATTTTATGCACGTGATGCAATACGAGTTGTTTTTATCTTTGGTCGACTTCAAGAAAACCAGCTTTATAGTTCGCTGTAGCCTAAATGAGTTCTTATACCAGAACAGTTGATAAATCTCACTATTTTGTTCTGTATAATCTTCAACTTCTTTTGATTTGACTTGTTTATATACCATGCAGGTTTAGCATAGTCAAATAAACATTGGATAAGAGCAAAACAGAGTGTACGTCTTGCTTCATTACAAAAATTTGTACGAGAATTTGCTTTTTTTACAACTGATTCTACTAAAGATGAAAATAAAATTGCGCTAGCCAACTCAATGCCTAAAGCCCCAGTCCCATATAAAGCCGGACCAGCACGGACGAGCACGGACCACTCCGGACCCCCCCGGACCATGGTCTGGGGTGATCCGGGATGGTCCGGGATGTTTTGTTCAAAAAAGTGTGATGCTTTTAAGCTACAGTCCCATATACGTCCCGGACCGTCCCGGACCATCCCGGACTCCATCCGGGGTGGTCCGGGATTCGGTCCGTGTTGACACCGTGTTGGCACCGGGGTGGTCCTGGATGGTCCTGGATGGTCCTGGATGGTCAATAACTCACTCCCGGACTGCCACGGATCAACACGGACCGCCCCGGCGCCACTACGGATGACCTCGGACCCAGCACGGTGGCTACACGGATCACCCCGGATCAAACTATTGTCCCGGACCGTCCCGGACCACCCCGGCAGTTTTTGACCGTCAAAAACATCCGGGGTCGACTCCCGGACCGCCCAGGACCATCCAGGACCATCCAGGACCATCCAGGACCATCCAGGACCACCCCGGTGCCAACACGGTGTCAACACGGACCGAATCCCGGATCACCCCGGATGGGGTCCGGGATGGTCTGGGACGGTCCGGGACGTATATGGGACTGTAGCTTAAATACTTTACAGAATCTTTTCTCTTGATTATTGTGTGTCACTTTGTATTTAAATGATCTTTTAGAACTACTTTTAGAACAAAACATAATGCTTTCTGTTTTTCCCAAGTGTAAAGAAAGCTTATTATCAGTCATCCAATCGACCAGTGGCGTACGCAGGTTTTTTTCAAGGGGGGGGGGGGTTAAAAATCGGGCCCAAAATTTCGCAACGACTCAGCCAGCCGCTGAATAAGCGGGGGGGGGGGGGGGGGGGGGGGGGGGTAAGAGGTCATTTTTTTTGTTTTTTGAGTCCCAAAAAAAATCGCAACGACTTAGCCAACCGCTGTATAAGCGGGGTGGGGGTGAGAGGACACTTTTACCAACAATTCAATTTGATGCGTCATTTGTGGACAACTCTCCATGCCTCTTGTACTTAAAATTTCATGTTTTTCCTTCTTTCTTGTGATTGAGATAATCTACTCCCCTGAAAGCAAGGTATAGAATGCAAAATGATATTCTACTTCACATGTTATGAAGTAGGATCAAGGACACATGATACAAAGAATAGTGAAATTTGAAGTACAAAAGGCATGGAGAGTTGTCCACAAATGCGGCATCAAATTGAATATCGCCCTCTAGTGACTAGTCATTTAAAAAAGCTTTAACTTCCTTATGCCCAATTTTGTTCAAATTTTCACTGATTTTATTCAAAAATCTTAAACTTTACAATAAAAGTAACTTAGTATGAAGGTTTTGGTTCCCTTTAAGTAACTTAGAGGCTTAAATAGAACATTCGCACCATCTTTTAGGAATTTAGCTGGAATCATGTCTAACCCAGTACTTTTTGATACATTCAACTTACGTAACTCTTTGAAAACAAATTGTTCACTGATTGGTAATAACTCGAAGCTGTTTTCACGTAACCTTTTCTTTCGTAAAACTCACGAATACAATCATTGTCTGCGCTGAAAAAGTCTTTGAAAGGGGGGAGTTTGTCTACTAATTTGGCAGCCACATTTGTGAAATAAGGATTGAATTCATCAGCGATGGCCATCTTATCATTCCCCATCAATTTTAATGACAGATTCTTGTTCTTTTCGCTTCTTATTTTTTAATCCTAAGCTTTTTAGATTCTGCCAAAGCCTTTTCGAATCGTGTTTATTTTCTTCTATATCTTGTTTTGTAAGTAATCGAGCTGTAAACTTTTAAAGATGACGAAGAATGTTATCGCAGAGTCTCTTTGTGATATCATTAACAAATCCCTGTCTTCATGAGTTGTTCCACGTGAATGGAAAAAGGCTCGGGTAGTACCAATATTCAAATCTGGAGATATTTCTTCTTTGAATAATTACCGCCCCATTTCAATATTACCTATCGTGAGTAAAATTATAGAAAGGGCCGTCCACCAACAACTCAGTGAATTCTTGGACGAGAATCAATTACTACACCCTAATCAGTCTGGTTTTAGACCTCAACATTCAACAGCTAAAGCCCTTGCAAAACTTGTAAATCAATGGTCGTTGAATATTGATAACAAAGAAATTTCTGGAGTTGCCTTCATAGATCTTCGTAAGGCTTTGGTACTATTGACCATGAGCTACTTCTACATAAACTAGCTTGTATAGTTTGTAGTAATAAGACTATTTTTTGGTTCAAATCATATTTAGGGGATTAGGGTTAAGTGACCCAATTTAAAGGAGCCAAGTCGCATCCATCAACCATCAAATTAGGTGTGCCACAAGGTTCAATTCTTGGTCCCCTCTTATTTTCAATATATGTTAATAGTCTACCTGAATGTACTCCTGAAGGTATCATAGATATGTATGCTGACGATACAACACTTACCGTCAGTGCAAATGATGCAACTGTTGTGGAAGTTGCATTAAACAGAGTCATGGCATGGATTAAGGAAAATCGTCTTGTTCTTAACACTGAAAAAAACTTGTGTCATGTTTATAGGCTCTCGTGCTAATCTCAAGAAAATTGAATCTTTCACCATTTCATTAAATGGCAATTTGATCAAAAGAGTTCAATTCACCAAATGCTTAGGACTTTTGATAGATGAAGAATTGAATTGGTCTAAAGAAATCGAAAACGTAAGTAAACTTACCCAGAAAAACATACTGTAAGCATGATAAAGAGAGCAAATTAAGAGTTTTTTGCCTCAAAAATCCTTAAAGTTACTTTATAACAGTTTAGTGTTGCCACGATTAGATTACTGCTCTGTTGTATGGTCGAACAGATTTCATTCTCATACAACTAAGCTGCAAAAAATTCAAAAGAGGGCCGCAAGAATAATATTGAACAAGACATAATTATGACACACCGTCGGCTGATTTGTTCACAAGTCTTAAATGGATGACACTAGACAAGCGGTTTGAGTTAAGTCGCGTTATGATGATATATAAATGCGTTCATAACTTAGCAACTTCTTACCTTCAGGTAGGCTTAATCAATCATAATGATGTACATGAGCATCATACAAGACAAATAGACAGTGGATGTTTACGTGTGCCTAGATTTCACACTGATTGTTATAAGTGTAGCCCGATTGTTTCTTCCATATTTTAATGGAATAAGCTAGATAATTGAGAACGGCTTCCTCTGTCAATTCATTTAAGAGATTGTTTAAACAAAGTTGTAATTTGTGAATGGCTCAGCCGAACATACACTACGTGCATGTTTTGTAATACATGATTTATTCACATAATCGCGACTTAATCAATATTTTTCTATTGACATTACTGTTACTAGGTTAATGATATATGTTTATTTTGCAATGAGGTATTATTTTTTGTTACTGTTTTTGTATAAACGTTATATGCAGTTATATGTTTTTTATGCAGGGCCCCATGGAAGACCACCACTTGTAGGTGAATGGGCTACCCTGTCAAAAGATTAGAAATAAATAAATAAAATAAAAAAAGTTTAGCCTTTAATTTTCACCTCACTTTGGACCATATTTTAAGTTTGTTAGTTATGGAAACTTCGATTTCAGCTATCAAACGCTGAAGATAATATACTAACGTCTACGTGTAATCTCAACTACAATGTAATGACGTTGAGAGTTGATGCACTTTGCGAAATAAATGTATCTCATTCCAATTGAAGTATTCAGCCTGTTCATTGAAAGACTCCCCCTACACGACATTAGTCCTTTTATAAAGGGACATTAATTAACTCAACTAAAGAGCGCCATCTAGGTGTGCGCGCGCTAGAATCAAAATTTGGCGCGTTCATTGATTCATAGTTTCTGCGAACTTAACTGTGTATATTCGAAGTCACTGTACCGGTACTGCTCTGGCGCTGTGACCGTACCGACGTCCGACACGAAATGATCCAGTGCAGCGAGTCTGTAAAGCTGTCGTAACTAGTCTAGAGGTCTACTGCAGATTTCAAGATTTGAAGTGAAAGTTGCTTCTCAAAGGCGACATTTACAGTCATTCAAGAGGTAATTTTGTTAGTAAAGATACGGTAATTACTTAGACTAGATCTAAGCCGCGCCGTACAGTGCCACTGGCCATGATAACCCTAGGCCTAGTGTAGGCGGCTGTTAGAGTCTAGAGTCTATGTCTACGTCTAGATCTAATAAAGTAATAAGCTGGTATCTACTCGTCAAAAGCCTTTTCAGCAGCTAAACAAGGATATTGTGGTGTGGTGTCTCTCATAGTGGTCATGAGGCCTAGTGCGTACAACTTACAAGTTGTGCAAGTAAAAACAGTTCCTCCTACGATTTAGCCACTGATGATGCCAGTGATGGCTCCCTTCTTCTTCTTCAAGATAATCTGCCTCCTTCAATACTGAAGATTCTTGCAGATCTACTCGGCCTTGACTGAGGTGCTTCTCCAGCTCCAAAGAGGGCAGATCAATGAAGTTGGTAGGGAGCTCATCCCAGTCCTGGAGAGTGGAGTGTTCTTGGGAAGAAACTTTGCCTGTAGGCTGTGCCTGTAGGCTGTAGCTGTCGGAGTTGGAGCTGGGTCTCATAAATCTGTGTCGGTGTTGCTGACGTGTTGAACAGAGTCTTGGTTGGATGTAGACCCTCTAGACCGAATTTTCCGTCTCTTTCGTTCGTTAGCCTCTTATTGGGGTAGGGTCGGCCGGCTCTCTCTTTAGAGACAGAAACCGTCTATAGGCCTAGACCCTTGATAACGCCACGGCCATTTCAGGTCGTAGCGTTTTGCCCCCAAAATCCCCCAAAATGTCATTTTACCTCGTGTAGATCTAGACTATATCCAAATGTAAATTAGGCCTAGGCTATAATACATCGGTTCCACTTACTAACTTGATTGAAATAATCCGTTTAATGGTCCCTTTTAAGGAAATTATGGGTCAAAATCGACATCCATGTTGAAAATCTTGCAAGCCGTGTTAAACTCTCGCTGCCGGAGTCATCTAAATCAATCTCATCCCTTCTAGTCTACGCCGAAGGCAAAATGATTATGAAGGAAAAACTGTGCGCCATCTACACGTTCTTAATGGCGTTATCACAGTTTTTCCTTCATAATCATTTTTGCCTTCGGCGTAGACTAGAAGGGATGAGATTGATTTAGATGACTCCGGCAGCGAGAGTTTAACACAGCTTGCAAGATTTTCAACATGGATGTTGATTTTGACCCATAATTTCCTTAAAAGGGACCATTAAACGGATTATTTCAATCAAGTTAGTAAGTGGAACCGATGTATTATAGCCTAGGCCATGTAAAATTGATTTCATGTTGATCGTCCCCGCCCGCTTCCTTTTTGGGGGCCGCCTCCTATTTTTTGTTATTTGTTATTTTTTTTTTTTTTTTTTTTTGTAATTTTTTTTGGATTTTTTTTTTTTTTTTTTTTTTTTTTTGAAAGAAAAAAAAACATGAAAAACACTGCTAAAATGGCTCTATTTCTGATTTAAAAAAAAAAATTTGTCGGCGGCCATCTTGAAAAAAAATAGCCTCGACTGTCAGGCAAAATGTACCGAGCAGCCATTTTGAGCGGCCATTTTGAAATATCAAATATCAAATAACATGGTACACCCTCCTCCTCTTTTTCAAAAAATCCGGACGATCAACATGTAATCAATTTTACATGGCCCTAGGCCTAATTTACATTTGGATATACACGAGGTAAAATGACATTTTGGGGGATTTTGGGGGCAAAACGCTACGACCTGAAATGGCCATGGCGTTATCAAGGGAATGTGTATAGACGGTTTCCGTCTCTAAAGAGAGAGCCGGCAGACCCTACCCCAATAAGAGGCTAACGAACGAAAGAGACGGAAAATTCGGTCTAGGTTGGATCTAGATCTAGATCTAGTCTGGAATTGGTACTGTGACTAGGTGATTGATGGCTTTGTATAGCATGGTTACTCGGGCCTGCGTCTATCCTCTAACTAGGGTGGGAGTGCTAGATCTTCTCTCATTTTAGCCTAGACAGACATAACGGTCTGGTAATATGGTATGGGCCATTCTTAAATAAAACTGACATTTGTCGTCACCTGACGGAAAGAAAGAAATGGCTGGGAATAGTTTTGATAATGGGCACAGCTTTTTTAATAATAGTACATTTATAAAGCGCAGAAACTATCCAACATTAGGTATATATTCTACTGCGCTACAAGAGCTCCTGATATGCTTAGATTTACGGTACAGTTAATTAAAAAGAAGTGTTTTCAGTTTTGACTTAAAGACGTTTACAGATGGTGATTTCCTGACTTCAAATGGCAAGTTATTCCAGAGTTTTGGGGCTGCACAAGCAAATGCTCGATCACCTAGCGTTATTTTTGTTTTGATAGATGGGATCTGTAGCAACAAAGTATCTCGGGAACTGCGCAAGTTGCGATTGTGTTGATTAGGTTTGAAATTCAACAGTTCTTTGATATAAGTGGGAGCTTGACCAAGAAGTGCTTTATATACAATCAGCAAGATTTTGAATGTTATTCTCTGGCGTACTGGTAACCAATGTAGATTTCTCAAAATTGGGGTGATCCGTGTGAATTTAGAACAACCACAGATCAGCCTTGCACAGGTGTTTTGAACCCGTTGCAATCTCACTATTTGAGAGTCAGGGATCCCATACAGTAGACCATTACAATAGTCCAGCTTATTGGTAATACATGCATGTACAATGTCTTTCGTAATGTCCTTATCTAAATATTTACGAATACGTCTGAGATTATAGATCATGTAGTATGCTGATTTACAGACATTTGTGATGTGCTCTCTCATATTCAAATTCGAATCGAACTGTACTCCAAGATTTCTTGCACTAACAGATGGTTCTATTACAGAGTCTCCAATTGATACACTGTTCAAGTTGATTTTGGATGTCTGTTTAGGTGTGCCAATGATCATTAATTCAGTTTTACCATCATTAAGCATGAGCCTATTTTGCAACATCCATCCACGTACATAGTCAACACATGTTTCTAGGAGTGAGACACATCGCTCTTTAGCATGTTCATCAGGTCTGAATGATACGTACAGCTGTGTGTCATCTGCATAGCAGTGGCATGATATCTCGGGGAAATTTGTTCGAACATTTGAAATGAGATTAGCAGTGTACAGAGTAAATAACAAAGGACCCAGCCGAGAACCTTGTGGAACTCCGAAAGGCACTGGCAAATCATCAGAGATCACATCGTCTATTTTGACCTTCTGATATCTATTCGCCAAATACGACTCTATCCATTCAAGAACACTACCATCTATACCAAAACAGGTCTTTAAAGTTTCTAATAAGCAAGAATGATCTATGGTGTCGAATGCACTACTTAGATCTAATAACAGTAAAAGAGAGACTTTCTGGGAATCCATAGCCATCAATAAATCACTCTTTATTCTTAGCAGTGCGGTTTCAGTACTATGGAATTGTCTATATGCAGACTGAGTACATGGCAAAAGTGAGTTGTTATTGAGGTGATCCATAATTTGCTGGGTAGCAGCACCCTCAACCAACTTCGATATATATTTCAGATTGCTGATAGGTCTTAAGTTCTTAAAATCTGCGTCAAGACCAGGTTTTTTCAATAAAGGTGTGATGAGGGCATTTTTCCATTGCATGGGAAAATGACCAGTCGAGAGAGAAAGATTAATCAATGATGTGAACACAGGAATTAATATGTCGATACATTGTAGAAGAAGTTTCGTGGGCATAGGATCTAAAGAGCATGACTTCTTACTGAGGTTAAGTATAAGTTTTTCAACTTGGTGCTCAGAAAGAGGTTTGAAATTGCTCAAAACATCGACATCATGGTAAGTTGCTAATGGAGAATAGGTCCTGGGTTCATTCATTGCATCTAATCTAGTTTCAATATTCTTGTGGATTTTAACGACTTTGTCACGAAAATAATCACCTAGGTCATTCACAAACTTATGTTTATCAGTACTACAAGGTATCAGGGGTTGTTTATTAGACATGTTCAATAGAGACTTGACAACATTGAATAACTTGTTTTGATTATCCTTATTTTCCATGATCAGATCTCTGTGATATTTTCCACGAGCTTTGTTCAAAAGTTTCAATGTTGCATTTCGAACAGACTTATAGTTGTCCCAATCACTATCGGCCCTGGTTTTCAACCAGCGCTTTTCAGCCTTTCTCTTTTTCCTTTTTTCTGTCCTGACACAGTCAGTATACCACGGTACTTGGGGACGTAACACTATCTGTTTAGTAACAACAGGGGCATGTTTCTCTAAGATATCACTAAGCGTAGTATCATACAACAAAGCTAGTTCAGTGAGGGTACTAGGTGTGTGCATACAGAGCTCGCTTTCAGCGATGTCTAACTTCAATCTATTCACATCAATAGCAGACAGCTTTCGAAATGATATCAGTTTAGAAGGCAATGGAGGTTTAGAAGAGTTTAGAAAACACATGACTGGAATGTGATCAGATAATATAGAACTATGTGGCCATGGTGACCCAAATACGATATCATCAGACTGACGACATATCATGAGGTCAAGGGTGTGACCGTGTACATGTGTAGAGAAATTAACCAATTGTTTACAACAGAGCGATTCGAGAAGATCTACAAAGAGTCTAGCATCTGCATTGGCAGTATCCTACAACAAAGTTATTCTTGATTTAACATCATGACAACAGACAAAACTTTGTTGGCACCAATTATCTCTGGCTATATTATAATGTAAATTACCTTTGACATCAATGATCTACTTGAAGTACTTCCTCCAATCTATCTTCTAAAGCATGCTGCCTTGGTGCAAAATTCTTACAGATAACACACTGTACGTTTTAACTGTTACAGGCATGAGACAGAGCAAATCGGGAAAAGTTTTGGCCGTGAATTGATCTTTTTGTAGGGGCATCGACAGCCTGGCCATCGATTAATTTAAGGCATGTGTCTTTACTGTAACAGAGAACCAGGCAATATAGATGCACCACGGTTTAAACCAAAATGTGTACAAAACTACATCATACATGGTGCCCATTTATTTTATAGTGTTTTAATGATATGCACGTTTTCCTTTTTTAAACGTGGTTCTTCATTGAGCTGCCAGCCCTCATTAATTATTTTAAAAAACTCAGCATAGTCTTCCTATTTTTCCCGATTTGCTCTGTCTCATGCCTGTAACAGTTAAAACGTACAGTGTGTTATCTGTAAGAATTTTGCACCAAGGCAGCATGCTTTAGAAGATAGATTGGAGGAAGTACTTCAAGTAGATCATTGATGTCAAAGGTAATTTACATTATAATATAGCCAGAGATAATTGGTGCCAACAAAGTTTTGTCTGTTGTCATGATGTTAAATCAAGAATAACTTTCCAAATCGTCAAAGGAGAACACCATTCTTGTAATGTCGATCAGTTTTCCAATATGTTTTTTTTTTGTAGATCAAGATGGTTTTGTCACCTCCAGTAATGCGTATAGGTCACAGTGAAGGTCAAACAGAAGTGTGCTATGATGAGACTGGCAAGTACATCCTAACATGTGGTAGTGATGGAGATATCCGTGTTTGGCAGGGCTTAGATGACGACGATCCACAGAGTATTGATGTTGGTGAATCTACTGCAGCTCTTGCCATTAATGTGAGTGTTATTTAGTCTGCACTGAAACTTAGTGTAAATGTTGATTAACTACCAGTAACTTAAAAGTAATATTCAGTGTTAAGTATTCACAATTTTATGATAAATTCATTATGAAAAAAAAATTGTATGGTGTATTGGTATGTTTCTTTTTTCTTTTCTTTTTTTAAGTGCAAAATCAATACTTCATTGAGAAATGTTTTAAAGAATCAACTGCTGCAATTGAATGCATATTTCAAATGAAAAATTTGTTTTTCTTTTACTTCATAATACAAAGAGGATACCTGAAGAGAGAAAAAATTACATAACAGAGATGCCTGTGGATTTGTTCTTATTTAAATCAGAGAGGAAAACTTTTTAGTGCATCTGACGCAAACACAGTTCAAGCCTACACTTTTCCTGATGGACAATCAGATGGTATTATTGCACGATTTACTGCTCCCGTCTCGCACATCTCTCTTTCACAAGATGGACACAAACTAGTAGCTGGTGCAAGGTAAGCAACAAACTAAACTCAATCTCAGCTGTGATGCAGACTCCATACAAAATGATACCCAAAAGTCACTAAATAATATGTGTTTTTCAAAGTATAGCTATTTAGGATTTGGGAAATTTAAAGGTGTACTCATTTCATTTCAGTGATTTCAATATCAAAGTAGTGGACCTAGGAGATTCAAGTCAGAAGGTTCTAGAAGGACATACAGCTCCTGTACTCAGTGTTGCTGCAGATCCCCTACATCAGTATGTGGTAAGGCATCATATTTCAAACCAATTTAGTGTCATGTAAACAATAATAAGACATTTATTTTGTACAAGTGTTAAGTGTACATATATGATTGTTTAATTGTAAAATACAGATGAAGGTTGTTGTGTGTTTTTTAAAACAGTAACTCAAGTGTATGAAAACTTAAAAAAGTAACTTTTAGAAAATTGTATTTATTCCAATAATGCCAATCTTTCATTATGGGCTATCCCTAACCAAAATCAGTAGTCATAGTGAATGCATTTAATTTCCATTGGTGAACACATTCAACAAGTTGTGCTCCTTTATTTTCTTCAAGATTTTAAAAGAAAATGCAAACATGACATTGGTGATAAATAGGAAGTGGAGAGTGTGCAGTGTAATGGGTAGCTTCGTAACAGAAGTGACTGGCCGGGGAAATAATACTATAAGCATTTTGGTAGGTTACGTTGTAGCTAGTAAAGTACTTCATTGGAAACAATTATTATTGTCATTTTTGTCTCGCCTGCGTAGCAAAAAGCGAAACATAGGCGCCGCTTTTCCGGTGACGGCGGCGGCGGCGGCGTCAACATCAATAACTTAACATAAGGTTAAGTTTTTGAATTTTTGATATAATTTTTAAAGTAGAAGTTCTTAGTCAATGAAACTTGGACGATAGGGTTATCAAGTCTCCCCAATCATGTGAGTAGAATTTCAGGTCACTAAGTTAAGGTCAAAGGTCATTTAAGGTCAACAAACTTAGACTTTGTTGTGGTATCAACATCCAGATTTTCAAAATGCTTCTTCTTCGTTATTTTTCAACCGATTTTGATTCTGATTGTTTCATATGATAGGGCTAGGAGGGGGATTTAAAATTTCTACACAGAATCGTGAAATTCATTATCTATGCTAATTTATGCAAATTTATTCGAAATCACAAAAAAAGGCTTCTTCTCCTTCATTTCTCGACCGATTTTGATTTTGTTTGCTTTATATCGTAGAGCTAACTTTGGTACACTAAACTTCTACACAGAATTTTGAAATTGTTCTCCATTAATTAATTATGGTAATTTATGCAAATTTATTCCAAAAATAACAAAAATTGCTTCTTTTCCCTCATTTCTCGACCGATTTTGATGTGGTTTGCCTAATCTGGTAGAGCTAAATTTGGAACACTAAACTTCTACACAGAATTGTGAGATTTTGCTCCGTTGATTATTTACGGTACTTTATGCAAATGAAATGAAATTATGTCCCTTCCAGGGCATCAAATTTTTATTTTTTGACCAGTTCAAAAGTGTACCACATAAAATTTACGATATTTGTTGTTGCGAGGTGCGGATGAGCGCTACGTCATTGACGTTCTGGTTTATCATATTGAATTGCGTTATGCAGGCGAGACCGCCGAGAGCGTTTCCCTTGTTATTATTATTATTATTATTATTATTATTATAAATATGATCATTATTATTATTATTGTTATTATTATTATTATAAGAGATGCAATTTTTCTGGATTTTTCTTCAGATTAAAAATGCCCTGAAAAAAAAGTTCTGTCTTTGTCTCTCTCCCTCTCTGACCCTGGTATCTTTCTCTCTCTTTATCTCTTCTCTCTCTTTATCTCTTCTTCTCTCTCGTTATCTCTTCTTCTCTCTTTATCTCTTCTTCTCTCTCTCTTTATCTCCTCCTCTCTTTATCTTTTCTTCTCTCTCTTTATCTCTTCTTCTCTCTCTTTATCTCTTCTTCTCTCTCTTTATCTCTTCTTCTCTCTTTATCTCTTCATCTCTTTCTCTATCTCTTCTCTCTCTTTATCTCTTCTTCTATCTTTGTATCTATCTCTTCTCTCTTTATCTCTTCTTCTCTCTTTATCTCTTCTTCTCTCTCTTTATTTCTTCTTCTCTCTCTTTATCTCTTCTCTCTCTTTATCTCTTCTTCTCTCTCTTTATCTCTTCTTCTCTCTCTTTATCTCTTCTTCTCTCCATTTTTTTCCTTTTTCCTTTTCCTGGTGCGTATGTCTGCCTACATCTTATATGTACTGAACATCTATATTTCCTTGCGCAGCTATTACTGTACAGATAGTGCTGTATGTGACGGCAATGGTCATGCCTTCGCTATAACAGCACAAATGCTAATAAGGCTTACTATACAGTGAAGATTTATTCAGCATCTTTTTTGCAAACTCAACTGAATCAAGCATGATTTTTCAGCGTAGAACTTTTGTGATGATAAAGAGCGGATTAATTTCAGACTCTTCCATTTCTATTCCTAATTTAACATGACCCTTAAAGTTGTTTAGAAGTATGATTTTTCACAATATGAATTGACTTTAATTTTGCAACTTTTTCATTAGCAATTTTGCATAGTGATTTGTGTTTGTGGTTCCTGAACAAGCTTTATAGCCAACCATATAATTAAAATGGTTTACCAGGGAGATTACTCCAGTGTGCAAATTATTTCAAAATCAAATTGATGCAAAGCCGTATTCTTTGACATCTTAACACGAATCCACATAAAGGTATAATATATATACACATTGAGCACTTCAATAATTCTATTAATAAAGCTACTTTAATAGTAGTGCAAAATTATGAACTGGCTCTCCCAAGAGGTGCTATTCTGAAAACCGTTATATCTGTAATATTGTATACTAACCTGATCATAACTATTACAAAAATAATAACATGTTGAGTAAATTTTCTGTCACTAGCACTTTCCTCTCATAAATTCTTTACCGCGCACACGATCCACAGTACTTAAAGCAAAACTCACAACTGCTAGAGGCTTTTTTATATCTCGAGATGATGGAAACTTTTCTAACTCTGCAGTCTGCATCAGACAGTATGTTTGACCAGCAAGAATGACTTCTTCTTTGACTTTAATACGAAGAAACATTTAAAAGGAAGTAAACGGGCAGTTTCTGCTAATTCGAATTTTTTAATCTACATCAGTGAAAAAAACATACGGGGGCTTGGGGCGAATTTGCCCCCAAAATGCCCAAAAGAGCCCCCGAAAATCTTAAAAGAGCCCCCGTAAATTTGCATAGAGTGTTATTTTTATGCAGGCAAGCTTGAAAAGTAGCCCCCGAAAAATAAATATTAATTTTTTTCCCTGATCTACATACATGTGATTTACCTTGGTTCCTGACCAAGCTACACCATATAATCTTATGATTTTGATACCAATAGATAGATTGACAACTACTCATTCTATAAAAATTAATTTTGTGGTGAATATTAGCATTGATAATCGGAAGTGCAAGGAAATGGGATCTTTTTTTACAAATATAGAAGCCTAAAAAGCCAATTCAAAATCCTTGTTGACATGATTTTCATGCAATTTGAATTTGAATTTGAATTTATTAACAACAACATAACACAATGTTACAAAATGTATTCAAGTGGGTAACAAAAATAACATGTCGTATACATATCCATGTACATGGGTTTCAAAGAAAAAGAAAATATCCATAGTTGAACCATACAAATTAATTTAATCATATATCATGTCATATCAAAACCTGTGAATTAGCTATAACTTAATAATACGTAGAGATTTTTCTAAGGATATTTCTAAACTTAAAAACTTAAAATGTTGTTAAAGGGAGAACCAAAAGTTAGCACGAGTGCTAGTCGGGATTGGTTCTCCGAGTTTCTACATGTAGTTGCAAAAAATTTCAAAATCTCATCTTTAAAATGACACTAAATCATGCAAAATGTGTGAATAAAAAATCAGGTATGGGAGCAACCCCATGTTTCGTCCATTAAGTATGCATGCCCCAATTTTTTATGAATAATTATGACTAAAAGACGCAAATTAGCAAGTGCTGCTGATTGACTGATATAAATCGTATTTGTTGTCTGCTATGTGCCAGGGAAGCCTGACCAGTAGCTAACGTTCACCAGTGAAGCATTACGTGCCTATAGCAGCCTGCATGTGTAGTAGGGTGCATGCCACTTCTGCCATCGCCACAAGTACTGTTGTAGTGGAGCAGGGCATTCTCAATTACCAAAAATCACTGTTGAATGTATCGTGTCTGTTGAAATTATAGCAGGAGAAGAAGGAAATTTATGTATTATCATTGTTATGTTATTATTATTTTGATTTATTATCATTATTATTGTTATTAATATTGTTGTTATTTTAATTGTTATTATTATTATTACTTTTAACATAAGATAATACTCTCCATTATTTCTCTGTTTATAGGCATCATCAAGTTGTGATGGAACTCTGAAAGTATGGAACATAGATGAACAGGTGAGAAAAGTCTTATGACAAAAGCAGTAATCTGCATTTAACATGTACTTCCTAAATTTCTTGTCATTTACTTACCTTTTTGAAAACATTAGGAACCTCCAAATTTTGAAACATGAAGCCCTTCTTATGCAATTCATTTAAATCACTTGCAACGTGAAATCTATTGCGACTGTGTACTTGGTACACAAAGGGGGTTGTAATTTTGTGATTGATAAGAGGACTTTTGATCAATTTAGATCAATGGTATCTCTCTTTAAGGTGAACCGGTAACATTGTAGAAGGTAGATGAAAAAAACTGCATAATTTTATAATGAAATCTTACTCATTATATTTCTTCTATACCGTACTAAACCTCTAACTTGCAAAACATCCTGAAAAAATTCTCAAACCACAAAGATATTTATGATTTTCTTTGAAGGCATCACTGTTCAACACCCTCTAACAGTAAAATCTCCCAACCGTTTTTCCATGAAAATAAGAAATATACAACAGGCTTTTAAAAATCTTTCAACACTTAGGTGTTTGGAAGGGTATGTAGAGCCAATGCATTGCTTTGTGACGATTTACATTCATCTCAAATTTAATTAAATTATAATAATATAGTTTGGGGAATTCAGGAATTGATCAGATCAGTTTTTCCCAATTTGTTATCATTAATAATGTTCTGTTTTCACTCAAACTTTCAGATTATCTTTAATTGTACATCCAATATTGAAGCAACGACCCTAGCATCATTTTCTCTTATCTGAACAATGTTACCAAGTCCTTTTAAGAAGGCCCCCTCAACATTTAAATTGTCTGTTGACATCCCTTTCATGTTTTGATTTTTAAATATCATTAAATATTTTCTCTTTTTTTGAAAATGTTGAGTGAGTTAAAACTCATCTGTCATGTTATATTGTATGTACACTCAGCTGCACATTGCATATAGAAGTGAGAAACTATGTCTCCTATCAACTGTAACAATGTTTGCTCAAATTGAGTTTTGCATAAAAAGCATAGTTAACTATCTTCAGAAGTACTCAATCTTCATGGTTAATCAATTTTATGGACCCAAAGTTAGAAAAAAAGAGAAATGTGTATTAAGCAAAGATTTTGAAGAAAAGTAACAGAAACAAGAACAATACTGGCAGGGCACTACTATATATATTCATTGCATAATAATTTCTTCTTCCATGTATAGTAGAAGAACTCATACCTACGTTACATGAACACCGTCATACTTTTTGGCCCAACTTTATCAAATGACCCAGAACCACTAGAGATGAGGCTCCAACTTGATGATAAATGCAATGTATTATCATTGGAAGACGATCTGATCAATTTTGGGGTTAATAGTTCAAAGGTCACAGGTCGATTTCTTAAATTCTAGATATTAGCCTTATTGCGATATCTCAAGAATCACTAGAGACATGAGGCTCAAACTTGGTGATAGAATGTGTCGCCATAAGAGGTGACCTGATTAGATATTTGGTAAGAAGGGCAATGGTCAAAGGTCATAGAATATAGAAGTCAAGTTTTGAAATTAGAGGTATTACCCTTGTTATCACAATAAGTCAAGAATTTCAAGAGGTATGAGATGAGCTTGGGAACATTAGCCAATTACATTTTTGAGCTAGTAGGTCAAAATCATAGTCATCAGTTTACATTTGATTACAGGTCTTTTGTTTTCATTGGAATATGTCACAAATGATTCCATTCATTTTCTATACTGAATTTAGTGCAGAGGCAATTAAGACAATTAAAAAGACAGTCATATTTGTCTTGATTTTTCATCCTTTGCCTCTAGAGTTGGGAGAAATCATCGGTTCTCATTCCCAAGTGCAGTGATGTCAGGTATACCAAATCAATGTTTTGCACTTTTCAATAATCAAAGTGTATGATGCAGAACTTTTGTCAAGATTTATGCTACTAAATTTAGTGACACTGTGTATTAGACCCGAGTTGTTTCCGTTTGTAAACATGGCCCTAGGCCTAACTGTGACCATCGAAGCCTGGATCAATTTCCACACTGTGAGACAACAGTATAGATTTTGTCTCGACATTTTACATACTTACAAAATTAGCCTGTGTGGTTTACAAAGATGGCTAGAATTTTACTTAATACATCCTGTACATCAGGTGAAATTTCATGCCATAGCTTGTTCTCCAGTTTTCTTTTAAAGGACTTAAAGACCTTTTCGAAATAGTGAACTGTGACATGATAAAGTAAATTCAATGTAGATTGCTTTTACAGTAAATACAAAGTAGATTGCCTTCACAGTAAATACAAAGTAGATTGCTTTTACAGTAAATACAAAGTAGTTCGCTTTTACAGTAAATACAAAGTAGATTGCTTTTACAGTAAATACAAAGTAGATTGCCTTTACAGTAAATACAAAGTAGATTGCTTTTACAGTAAATACAAAGTAGATTAATTGCTTTTACAGTAAATACAAAGTAGATTGCTTTTACAGTAAATACAAAGTAGATTGCCTTCACAGTAAATACAAAGTAGATCGCTTTTACAGTAAATACAAAGTAGATTGCTTTTACAGTAAATACAAAGTAGATCGCTTTTACAGTAAATACAAAGTAGATTGCCTTTACAGTAAATACAAAGTAGATTGCCTTTACAGTAAATACAAAGTAGATTGCTTTTACAGTAAATACAAAGTAGATTGCTTTTACAGTAAATACAAAGTAGATTGCTTTTACAGTAAATACAAAGTAGATCGCTTTTACAGTAAATACAAAGTAGATTGCTTTTACAAAGTATCCTCATGACCTCAACCATGAGACCATACAATACACCAGTTTACAGTTGTGTGCGCCATTTTAAACAAGGCCAATGACCTAGAGGTCATGTATTTATGCGTAAATTAAGATTGCGCCCATGCAAATTATGATGATATCACTGCCTACGCGCTGCGTTGTGCGCGCAAATCATCATTTGCATGGGCGCAATCTTAATTTACGCATAAATACCACTGGTCAAAGGTTTTTGGCCCCGCTTCCGGGGCCAATGACCCGAGGTCAACTGTCTGCGCATGCGCACTGATACAACTGTAAACTGGTGTATTGCACCAATCTTTTACTTTATTTCTTTTTTAATCAGGGGAATTATTCATATCGTGACAAATCTGATTCAAATAAACATAAATTTAAATCATGATTTTTTCCTACTCTGAAGTAATTTGATCCTTGTATCATAAATTAGGCTCATGATCCATTTCAATATGCATGAAGTTTTGCAGCAGAGATTCTTAGTCTCTATCTCTGAAGTCTCTTGAGGCTAAGAAGAGAAAAGAAATCATCATAAGAAGTCAAGTCTGGATAGGACAAGAGCCGCCCAGCAGCATGGCATGTTGGTTTAATGAGGTTCTGTAGGTGTTATTTGATGTTTTTGCTAACATGAAGGCTGAGGTTAGCATATGATTTGAATATTACTCCCAAATTACGGACAGACATACTTGGCTTGAAGAATTTCCAAATATCAATCTGTCATCATTCATTACATGGGACGAAGATATGGCGATACAGAGACAAATAAATTGATGTTGCTATCAAATTGTGTTTAAACATTGTGGTTCTGATGTATCCATTACTCCATTGTAATGCCATCTTAGCTGATAACAGCAACAGGAGCTCAAACCAAAGTGGTCATCTCCAAAGCTCATAAAAGCGCTTTTTTGTAAATAATACAACAACATTTTTGCTTTAATGGAATTTTTACTTCCAAACTTTCTTGCAGTTTGTCAAAAACATTATGTCGCATGGATTGGAAACCCCACAGTGGAGAGGTAAGTCACTTGTGATTTAAAATCCAAATTCATAATCATTATTTGCATTCATTTCTTAATCAAGATCACAGTGGAAAATGTGAGTTAGGTATGTAGAAATAAACTTTCAGAATATTTGTTGACATTGTTGAATACAGCAACAATTCAAATTAATGTCGCTCTGACTATTTGCAACGTGCAAGGGACATTTGTTGCTACAGTGTTACACTTAGTGCCAAAACAAATCAAACTGTTTAACATAAGTATGATATGATATGATATGATATTTTATATTATATTCCACATACTAACAACCTTGCTCTACGATTGGTCAAAAGTAAATCATGTGATGAAAGATAATTCCCCCATCAGTGATGGGAGCAGAAAAGTTTTTTGCACTGTGTAGCAGTGCAACGCACTTTCATTGAAGATAGAATTACTATCTACACAGTGCAACGCACTTTAATTGTATACGCTGCGTATTCCTTTCCTCTTTAAGCGCTTTTAGTTTTAGTATGCGAACTTTGGTCACGCGCAAACTATGGTCACACCACCATAGTGCATACACTGTACGATTCGTACTCTGTTTGCTAGATGTTAATTGATGACTTGTTGCTCTAAAATGACGGAAGAAGTGAAATGTTTCTGATGTGGAATATAAAGCAAATATTCACCTTCTGGTTTCAGGCAAGGCAAACTATCACTTCCTCGGCGATCTGAAAAACTAAAAACATATTAAGCAAATATTTACCGTTGGTGAAGGTGATGGGAAATACTATCACTTCCGCCTCGGAATATGGCTATCCTTCTGAAGCAAACCTGAGGAAAAATAGCGTATGCATTCAGATTGCAGAGGAAGTGATAGTTTGCCATCGCCTGAAACCAAAAGGTGATTATTTGCTTTATGTTCCACATCAGAAACATTTCACTTCTTCCGTCATTTTAGAGCAACAAGTCATCAATTAACAGCTAGCAATAGGTCTACGATACATACAGTGCATGCAGTACTTATGTACATACGTATATGTAACGTATACAATCTTCAGTAAAAGTGTGTTACACTGTGTAGATAGTACTACTATCTAGACAGTGCAACAAACTTTTCTTCTTCCATCAATGATGGGCAAACTATCTTTTATCACATGATTTACTTTTGACCAATCGTAGAGCAAGATTCTTTGTATGTGGGAAACAATAAAAGATATCATTTTTATTTGCAGTATTTAGTTGTTCCATTGGAGAAGAAGATTGAGGTGTATGAAAGGTCTTCATGGGATGTAGTATTTACTCTGGAACCTGAAGATGCTGGTGGATTTGTATCTGTTGTTTCCTGGTCACCATGTGGGCAGTACCTTGCTTCAGCCAACACTGATGGTACTTTGTGTTTCTGGGATATCAAGACAAAGAAATGTGTTCAAAGGTTAGTATTACATTTCAGCGTTGTCACAAAACAAACATCTGAGATCAATTAATATGGTAGATTTAAAGATGTTCAACAGGGGGCCGTTTCTCGAAACCAACTCCATGACAGTCATATCTTTGTTGGCGACCTACGGAGATGTCATGAAGTGGATAAACCGTTTCAAAAAGCCATGACAGACATGATATCGATATATCGCGATACTAGCAGCTCAAGAACATAGTCTTTGTCACGATCCATTTTGATTTATCACGAATATCCCAAAACAAGTTTTGGGGCTAAAATTGTTCAAAAAGAAACATATACATATTAATTCTCCTAAAATAAATAACAAATAGTGTCATTATCAAATGTAGATCATCAAACGATTTGCATATTTCTGTAAAGATTCTTAAGTTGAAGAAAAACCGGTGAGTTTTTTTTTCTCGACAATCCACTCAAAAGGTAGTTGAAGGATACCATAATGTGATAGTTTATCAATACGTACTTTTTTTGTTTATTGTGACGAGGAATTTTAGGCAAAATATCTTTTCTCAGCCAGTTTTTATTCTAGAGTCTCATAATACTCGTTATATAATTGATTTGATATTGAAAATATAATTTGAAAGAAGTAATTAGAGAGGGAATAATAATGCACATAGACCCCAAAGGTACAATGGTATCCTAAGAAAGACTATGGATTGACTATGGACAACGGTGTTTAACATTCTTATCTCTTTTATTTATATGTTATAGTTTAATGATTTGTGATTTAATGTTTATATTCAGCTTTTACAAATTCTGTATAATTTGTATTATCATTTCTGTACATTTGCATTTCACATCCCAGAGAATTACGTACCGAACTCGTCTATATTTTTCTCAAAATGATAGTGAAACTAATCGTACATTTCGCGTCCCATGGAACAGCAACAAACTGACTTGTGATGGCGCTTTACAGCAATTAAAAAGATATGACAGGTTCGGAGCAGTGACAACTCGCTTGTCGCGGAAGTTGTCGCTCATCTTGACAAAGACGGCTTCATGAAACACTTAGCTGACAAGTTTCGCGACAGTGGCGAGATGTCGTTGATCTTGTAGTTATGACGGTTTCGAGAAACGGCCCCCAGGTACCTAACCCTCTGGTAGAGGGGGGTGGGACAGTGCCCCCAAAGTGGCTCTATTAGATTTATTAGGTAATCTGCTGCATAGGATAAGGATCACCTGTTGATTTTGTCAGAATGTTTCTCATTATTTCTTTCTTACCTTTTTGTGGTTCAACTATCTTCTGAATGCTAAATGTCAAAATCTTCAAGGTTTCTAGGGTGATTCCTGATCTTCTGGAATAGCAAGTCCTCTTTAATATGATTGTGATTGTCGCTGCGTCACATCGAGACGCTAATTTGTAAATTCAATTTTCTTAAATATTTTTGCTGAACTGATCGATGTTCATTTCTGCATCAAACTTGGTGTGCATAAACTTCAGGTAATGTGTCACCGTATGGCTACATGCATGACTGCCCTCTAATGTATGCCTACGCATGCACAAAGTTTATAGATGCTCCAAACGCCGAAATTCAAAAAAAAAAAATTCAGGTCTTTTCCAGGATTTCAAAATAGGTACTGCCTTTAATAATGAACGCTGAAAATGTGATTTATTCATGTGTGAGGATTCCTTATAAGATTGCTAATCATCCTAAGCCATTTGCCTTCAATATCCACCATCCAAACAGCAGTGCAAGCATGGCACAAACTTTAAAATGCGTGCACACTTGAATCTTGAAAACTCTCGAAAAATTGTTTTGACAATTGTTCCATTTAATTCAAGGATATTTCTTCAAAATGCCTGGTTACCCATATTTTTTATTTCAAATTCTGATAGTTCATGAATTGTAGATATGATTTTGTACCAAATTATTGGTATGGATTTTTGCTAATTATTTTAGGAATCTTTTTTGTCTCGCCTGCGTAGCAAAAAGCGTTCGCCTGCGTAGCAAAAAGCGAGACATAGGCCTGCTTTTCCAGTGACAGCGGCGGCATCTACATACCGTAATTAACGGTGTATTAACCGCACCTTTTTGTCGCCGAAAAAATTGAAAGTCAGGGGTGCGGCTTATACACGGTACATCGAAGAAAAAAAATTAAAGTTTTGATTTATGCCCCTCCACCTGGCGCTATGCCTTGCAATGTCTTCCAGCTCGGTAATCTGTGTGTTGACTCACCACCCGGAAACTAGAACAACACTCAAATTTGTCTGTCATCTTGGTTTGAAAGTAATCTTTCTGATAGATCTCAATATGTAGTTTATAATAATAATTCCTCCAATTTTTCTTCTATTACACGGTGTACCACAAGGTTCTATCCTAGGTCCCTACTCTTTTTTAATTTACATTACAGTAATGATCTTACACAAAAAAAAAACAATCTTGGCAAAAAAAAAAAAAGAGGGGTGCGGTTAATACACGAGGGCGGTTTATACAACGTTAATTACGGTAATATAATTTTGAAGGTATAAGTTCTTATTTTGTGTTGATTTATAAGATTGATAAAATAGGTCACTTTTAAGGGGCATACTGAGGATATTCGCTATTTATAGAGGCAAGTGACAGATCCTGGTAGCTGATATTGGGACACCGGTTCCCAATCCGTGCAAGGCCATCGGGACCCGGTTTGGAAACTTCCAGACATGACTCAGGCCTAGTTCATTATCTGGCGCATGGTGACTTATCAAGTGCAGTTCATAACACTAATGCACAAGTTTCAAAACATAAATTATTTGTTTTATAAAAACAGTTTTTGAATATGAATATGAGGTCAAGAAATATGCAACAAACCCAATCAAAATGCCAAGGGTAGCACAGTCATGGAGTTCACCATTTGCTATATTGAAAGACATCACGTAAACGCAAATAAAAAGTATGATGCCCATCTCAGTGCGCACATCAATGTCCTTGTCCTAGATTTGTATATATGTGTCTGAGAAACCCACTTCTAGCTGTGGGTTGTCACTCTTAGATAGGACCTTTTTTTAATGGTTGTCATGGTAGTATAAACAAATTATAGATGGTCACATGTTATCATTTGACTAATTAGAGTGCTTATGTTCTAGAATCTGTTTCATAACAAAGTATAATGCATGCATATGTATGTTTGATTGCTAATATTAAATTGAACCCTTAACTGGAGGAGACAATATTTATGACAGAAGCTTGCAAGATGTCAAGGCTATGTCACTGCCATAATACCATTCATGTGTTAATTCCTTTCATTATTCCTTTTTTGGGGTTGCACAAGGTTGGCAGCTCTGGGCATCTGACAACCGGTCCCAGTAGAAATTTTGGTCAGTTTTGTGCATTTTGTAATGTCCAGTCATTGTACTCCCAACTGACAAATTTTAGTGAATGATGCAGATGGGGTTAAATTGACTCAACTTTTAATTCTATATTGGGGGCTCTGTTTATAACTAAACCTGACGGCTATGATCAGGCTGACAACCCTTTTGCCACTGACTTTAGACGTTTTAAGTAACTTTGAGGAGTAACATTTTTTAGGTAAAATGGGATGACCATTTTGGAACAGACTGCCAGACTATCATACCAATAAAAATTCAACATATTTTGAGGTCATAATGCAGACAATGTTTAAGTATTGGACCAACATTTGCATTTATCTGTTACAGGTCAAAGCACAAGAAAGGGCTTGCTATATGTGGTCTGGCTTGGAACCCGCACATCAAACATGAACTAGCTTTTACTGATGTCATGGGACAGGTTGGTGTTTTTGAAGACATTACATTCTCAGATGACAAAGGAAGACTAAACAACCAGGTATGACTATTGCTCTATGATTTACATTGTACTGACTTGCTTTTTGCTCAAATGTGTACACTCATCTATAAGAACTTAACCCTTACTGTATTGGGGGGGGGGGCCTGGGAGGCATCAAATTTGCATAAATTATCATTATTAATTACATCGAAATAACTATTTTGTATTAGAAAAGAAGTTTCATATGAATAATGAGTTTCAATTAACATTCAAAAAGTGGGATCTGACAATTTTTGTAATGATTCTAGTTCCCTGTATATTTCCAGATTTGATATTCATGAATGCGTATTCATAATATATGCATTTTAAAATATCATAAAAATAATGTAACCTCATGAATTTGAGATGAAGGAAACATTTATTCAATATATTTTCAAGATTCTTCACAGGTCTACTGACAAATATGTAGATTTTTCTTTAAAATGCATAAAATTAGCATTTTGCAATTAATTAGGCTATAACAACAAAAATTTGCATATTAGGAAAAAACTAATTATACCATCTTGTTCCTTACGTAAATATCTACAAACGTGCACATTTTCATGTTCATCGGACAGTCATGAGGTGCTCAAAATAGCCCAGTACAGTAAGGGTTAAAGGGCTAGTCCACTCCAAAAATAACTTACCGGTAAGGTACTTTCCAATAGAAGCAGACAAAATCAGACAAACTAGTAATATGTTCTTGTGTGGATGCACTAATATAGATTTTTTTTTTTCTTCAGGTAAATCATGAAAAATATATAAAACAATTGATAAATAGTGAGGCAATGATGTCACAAACTGATAACCAAATTGGCAATTCGTGTAGTGATTTTCTAAGTTCTATAGTTTTCCATACATTAAAAATATCTGATTTTAACTCCAAAATCGGCATCTATTAAAAAAACAAATTAATTTTGGAGTGGACTTAGACTTTAAGAATAGTAAACTTTGCATAGAATGGAACTTGTTGGGGAAAATTTATTTATGCTGAAATCAATATTTGTTATGCCTCCGCCACCTGGAGGCATTATGTTTTTGGGTTGTCCATCTGTTCTCGTGATCGCGTTATCTCAGGAACCGATTGATGGAATCTTGCCAAACTTGGGACCTGTATGTATCTTGCAAAGCTAATGAACTGATTAGATTTTGGGTCACGGGGTCAAAGGTCACAGGGCTCATTATATATGCAAAAATAGCTTGTGATCATCACATTATTATTGGAACCGTTAGACAGATTACCATCAAACTTAGGACATGTATGTATGTTGCTGAGCCAATGAACTGATTAGATTGTGGGGGTCATGAGGTCAAAGGTCATGGGGCTCATTATGTGTGAAAAAATAGCTTGTGATTGCACTATCATTAGAAACAATGGACATATTGCCATTAGTGCTGTAGTCAAACGTTTAACCGTCCGGTATCCGACCGCCCATGGCGGATTCCGTTTTCAATTGGACGGTTTCGTTTTTTTTTTTTTTATTGTTTTTTTTTAATTTTTTTTTTAAAGTTTCGATTTATGCCCCTCCACCTGGCACTATGCCTGGCAATGTCTCCCAGCTCAGTAATCGGTGTGTTGACTCACCACTCTGAAACTAGAACAAAACTCCAAATTGTCTGTCATCTTGGTTTAAAAGTAATCTTTGTAATAGATCTCAATATGTAGTTTATAATAATAATTCATCCAATTTTTACCCATGGTGTACCACAAGGTTCTATCCTAGGTCCTCTACTGTTTTTTATTTACATTAATGATCTTACACATTTTTCTAAAAACGACATTGTTAATATTATATGTGACAAGTTCACAAGTACAAATCGGCGCCTTTAAATGAAAGTCCTACCCGCTTTTTCAAATGGACCTGGCTTGTCAGCAATTTTTTTTTTTTTTTTTTTTTTTTTTTTTTTTATTTTAAATCGTTTAACCGACAACCGTCCGGTTTTGACTGGCGGTTAAACGGAATTGGAGATATCTGTGATGTTACAGCACTAATTGCCATCATACTCAAGACCTGTATGTATCTTGCAGAGCCAATGAAGTGATTAGATTGTGGGGGTCATGGGGCTCATTATGTATGCAAAAATAGCTTGTCCCGGCATTCTCATAAGAACTGACGGATGAATTACTTTTAAACTAGGACATGTATGTATCTTGCAAGGCCATTGAACTGATTATATTTTAGGGTCAAAGATCAAAGGGTAATACATGTATATGAAAAACAGCTTGTAATCACAATATTCTTAGAACCTGTTGATGGATTACAATATAACTTGAATTTGAAAAATTGCTCTGTTTTGGTTTGTAAAATCGCTCTATGGCGGAGGCATTATTTCCGACTGCACGCATTCAAAGTTCCATCTTGTTTCAGGCTATAATACAAAGCATACTAACCTACAACCTTGTTTGTTACTATGGGTATGGGAGGAAGCAGAACCCAGGATCGCTGTTTAGATCGCGTGAGACAAGTGATACAGCAAATAATTGGAAATGGTCTGTCTTCTATTATTTGTTTCTTTGAACAGGGAGTGTTGTCCAAAATGGACAAAATTATGAAAGATAAAAGTTGTTCACCTAGTATATATCATTTGTCTTTAATGGTTCTGGTATCCATCTTTGTATACAGGTAGCAGAGGATGAACTTGTAGGTGATCTTTTTGATGATGCAGCAGATGAAGACTTGCTGGAGGCAGTTAACCAAGCAACCAATGCAGACATTGACAAAGATGAATTGGATGCCCTAGTTGATGATGATGATGATGATGATAAGGTCCATGAAGAGATTAGAAGAGCAAAGCAAAGATTGGCCATGCTCACAGGAGATGCACCTTCTATGGGTAATGTACACTATGTAGTTAATTGAAGAGTATATAAAATATTATGAAATAAAGTACATTTTGAACAGTAGTACAGTCAAACCTGTCTATAGCGACCACCCAAAGGAAACACAAAAAGTGGCCTTTGTAGACAGGTGGTCTTTGTAGAGAGGTTCGACTGTATACTAATGATGCACGAAACTAGTTCATTATATGATCTATTCGCCCTTGAGTTCAGGCATCTATCGCATGAAGGTGTCATGCTGAGCATGATATTCAGCCTTAACGAGAGCTGATAAATCATAATTATGGTAATCAATTGAAGATATGAATCATATGTTTCATACAACTAAAAACACCCAACCAATGCATTGAAAAATTTTAGTGAGTAAATGATAAGTACAAGATACAGTTTTAACAATTGGAGATTAAGCATCACTAGGGAAGTTGTTCCAGTGAGAAGATAGAAAATAAGATTCCAAACTTGTAAGGTGTAATCTGCCCTTGTAAGAAAGACAGTGACATTGATGTTCACAGATGGTGCTTCAAATGTTGAAGACACAGGAAGTATATCGGATGTGACTGACATAGCACCACCAGTTCTGAGTGCACCTGTCCCTGCCCAAGTTACTCCTATGCAGAAACCATTCATTCCAGCATCAACACCTATCCACCTGTCAAGTCGATTCATGGTAAGATTGTGATATTACCAAGCGTACATTATTGTAGGGATCTATATCATATTTCCCTCTTTCTTATTACAATGCTATGTTACTCAAGTAGAGTTAAGATATATTCTGGTCACGTATCAAATACATCTATATTGACTTTCAGACAAGTCTTGAACTATATGGAAGAAAAGTACACTTTATGCTAGCTCATCAAACTTCTGTACATTTGGAGAATAGGGCAAAATTATCTGTTTCTAGGGAAATGGGAAGGAGATCTTTGCTGTTTGTCCATCTCTGGCTCCTGTACCTTATAATTGAATGTCAATTTTTTCTTTTTAAAAATTACAAATGTCAACAAATCTGTTTGATCATTTACCCTATCTTGCCCGGGGGGGGGGGGGGGGGGGGGGGGGGGGGGCTTTAGAAGCCTCCCCTCTACATTTTTCGTGATAATTTTTTAACGCAAAAGAATCTTGCGCTGAATTTTATGAATTTTTATTTTTCGAGTCTTGCGCATCGTTGGAAATATATATTTCAAAAATCAGACCTACTGTTACAAAGTCACTTGACCTTTTGTCTTTGCATGTCAGCCCGAAAATCGCTTGCGTACAAAACATATGGAAATGTTTTTTTTTCCAAATAAGAGATAACCCATTGGTTATTTGGTCTTGTTTTTAGTTAAGGTGTTTATGTTGGAGTTCAAAATAGTTAAATTATAGGTAGAAATGAAATAAAACAACAAAAACAATAAAATACATAACGTCGGTGGGGTGACAAAACCTCGTATCTCAAAAATCATGAATTTTCAGGAGAGCGGAAAAAATAAATTTCCTGTCTCTTTGTGTGGAATTTGTGAAAAAAACCGAGACAGGAGGCGTTCCATGGATTTATCAGGTGGTGTCGTAGGCCATTAGGTACACAATTATGCAAAAAAAATCAAAATCTCAAAAAATTGAGATACAAGGTTTTGTCACCCCACCGACGATAAGTTAAAAAAACAAAGAAATACTTAAGAAATCATCAAAACAACAGATAACATAAGGAAGGACCTGGCTTTTCCAATTTTGTATTGTTGTTGGTATTATTATCCCAAATGGTTTAAAGAATATATGTAGTGAAAACTAATGTTTAACCCTAAATAGCCCGGGGGGGGGGGGGGGGGGGCTTTAGAAGCCGCCCCCCCCCCCCTATATATTTTTTGCGATAACTGTTTAACGCAATTAAATCTGGCGCTGAAATTTTATGAGTTTTTTCTTTGACATCTCCCACACATTTTAAGACCCTATTTGTGAAAATCGGGGATATGGTATCGGAGATGTAGCACATATTCGTGACCAATGTCACACAAAAACGGCTCCAAAAATGGTTTCCAATAATCTTGTGTGTACAATGTATGGGTTTTACAAGAAATGTTGTTAGAAGAATGTTATTTTTTGTTTTTCTTCAGATAACGTCCCTTTTGGCCATCATAAACTATTCTAGATAACAAAACAATGAAAAACAAAAGATTTTATAACAAAGAAATACATAAGAAATTAGAATTTCAAGGAAAATTAGCATATTTTCATAATTAATTAGACTTATATTAAAATTAATGATATATATCATAAATGTTACTAAGCATTCTTGATTAGTACATGATAAGACACAAACACGCCAAGTTTGGAAAAAATCGGTCCGTAAATAGCAGAGCTCATGGGGGGGCCTTATAGAAGCCCCCCGCCCCCCCCCCCCCCCCCCCCCCCCGATATGCAGTTTCAAAATAGCCGGGGCTATATAGGGTTAAATGTGAAAAATATATGATTTATGGGTAAAAATGTGAATTTTATTAAATATAAATATGCAAATGAGTGAATTTTTCAAAAAAATTAAATTACGATAGTAATCTATACACTTCACTTGACATGCATGCAAATTTTTGCGGCGATCGGCTGTAACAGCCGAGATCATCAGGGCAGGCCTTAGAAGCCCCTCCCCCCCCCCCCCCCAGACTATGCAGTTTCAAAATAGCCCAGGCTAGATACGGTTAATACAAACATGGAAAGAGACTAAATGAATTTCTTGAGGAACAATTAAAAATGAGAAAAGGACATCAATTTGTTTTTGGTTTTTGTTTGTTTAACTTACAGAAATGGAATTCTGTTGGAATAATTCGTTGCTATGACACTGAGGATGAAAGCTCTATTGATGTAGAGTTCCATGATACAGCTATCCATCATTCTCTCCACTTTGATAACCAAAACAACTACACCATGGCTGATCTCTCTAATGATGCTGTCCTACTTGCTTCCGAGAGCAATTTAGAAAATCCAAGGTAAGCTTTTCTTTAAGGCTCCCCACCAAATGTGGTGCTGGAGGTACTATGATGTTTAGGTAGTTAACACAAATGAATAATTTCTATTGCAAACATGACCCTATTTGTTTGACAATCAAACCACTCAGAGAAAGTCACAATTTTGAAAGCAAACTGGTATTTTTTATAATGGGAATCCAATAATAGATAGTTTTGAACAAAAGAATACCAATATCTTTAATTTTAGAATGAACTGTAGCATGACATTTCACCTAGTGTGAAGTGAAATTAAAGCCATCTATCTATGTTCAAAATTAGTGCTAAATCCATATTGTCGTCTCACATGTAGGCATTTATCAGTGCTTCAGGGCCTGACCGTCTTTCAGCGATAGAGCCAATGTGGAAAGGACAATTGTTATGATTCAGGCCTAGGCATGTTTTACTAATTGACTAGTCCTATTGTTAAAGTAACTGGACTAAGAAAGAGTTACCGGTATGTAATTCCCCTAAGTACTTCCATTCTGAGAGGGGGAAGTATTTGATATACAATTTGTAAAGAATGGTCCTTTAATATTGTTAAATTTAGGCAATTCCAAGTGTTACGGAATGATATTCTCAAAGAATTTTCCCTTTTTATAACAGAAAGAATATTTATGAACATCACAACATATATCTATAATATAATGGCACAATTTGATGACTAATATGGGGTACTTTCAAAACTGTTGTGTTTTAAAGCAATTTCTCATAATCTTGTTTCATTTCAGAAACATTTCTTCCTTTACAAATTATATACCTTGATTAACCTATAAACTTTCATGAAAAAAAAAGAAGAAATAAATTGAAATGATGTGTTTTGGGTGTTGCGGAATGAGAACTTTTTGGAGTATATGTTTCTAAGTTCACTGAAGCATAACAATTAATAGAGGACATAAATTAATGCTATGATTGGTTCCTATATTGTGTTAACTTTGTATACCAATTGTACTTTGTCACAGAGATCATATTAGTATGACATTACTCTTTGAAAGTTTGTCATAAATGGTATCAATTTTAACATTATGTTAATGATTTAGCAAATTTCAACTTTCAGCAATGCGATATTTATCAGTTTTTTGCAGATTGGACAAATTTTGATGTTTTTGTTTAATTTGACTACAAATTTGAAATTAATGGGGTTATGTCCTGTTTTGCTTAAAATTGCACATTCCTGACAATAAAAGTGCCTACATTATACTCACAGTATCTATGTAGAAACTACAAAGATTAACACTTTTTATTAATTAGTGCCTCAATTTCCGATAGGCGTTGAAAAAAACCTCTATTTACATTACTGCTGTTTTGTTTTGCTTTTTGAGGGGGATTGAATTTCTTCCTTGATTGTTTTCTTCTTAACCCTTTACAGCCTGTTGATGTGTTATCACTTTTTGTCATGGGATAACCAGAAAGAATGGTCTACATCCTTGCCTAAAGGAGAAAATATCAAGGTAGGTTTACAGATTTCTGTTGGAACATCTAAATAAGATGCCATTATGATTGGATGAATAGGAATACTTCAAGTAGATTTTGCATCAATCAAGAGAACAAGACTAAACAATAATAGTTAGATAGTCATACTGTGAATCATAGAAGAATTCATTTTAGCAATCTAACAAGTTTAATGAGCTCTGTCTGTACTGTTTCATGCTATATGTCATCTGAGCATGAATAGGGAGTCTCTCTTCAGAGTGACTGACCTTGATAGTGTATTCTGTCTGGGGCTAGGCAACCAGGCTTTGAAGAGGGGTGATCATGTCTCCTTCCTATTATTTGCATGTGAGTGGAGTGGTTGAAGTAAACCATTACAACAATAAAACTGCTAAAGGTTTACACTTATGCACAAAGACTGGTGATTTTGCAAACTATGAAAATTGTACTGTGGTAAAATGCATTCATTCTTGTTCAACTAGATTTGAATTGGGTTTGAGTTTGAAAACAAAACATTAATTGCTGATATTTTGTATAAAGGACAATAGCATGGAATCCCAAATATATAGAGTAAAAGTGAATAAGGTATAGATCCCCTTTAACTTTGTTTTCTTGTATATTTGTGTTATGTTTAGGGATTAGCAATTGGAGGAGGATGGATTGGTGTTGGAAGTGACAAACGCCTGGTGAGGTTGTATAGCACAAGTGGTATTCAGCGAGAGATCTTCTCTTTACCAGGACCAATCATCTCAATGGCTGCACATGGAGATAAATTATTAGTTGCATATCATGCAGGAATTGGTAATGATACAAGAATGCATGGCTTTCATCTTATAACCCAAAGCCCACTGATGACATTCTATTAACATTGACATCTTAATTTACACATGTACATGTATAAGACAATGTAGATTTCTTAAGGGCACTTTGTGACGCAGACATCACTCAAGGGTTTTATCAATATTGAATTATGCAAATGAACAATGTATAGGTATATAAAACAACCCTTGTATCCGGACATTTAGCTCCCCCCCCCCCCCCCCCCCCCTCCCCAGACAATAACCCCAAAGAACTGCACAGGGGGCCAGTGGCCCCCACCTTTTTTCAAGTACCCCCGAAGTTCCCATTTTTATTGATGAAAAGTGCCTTTTTCATAACTGAAGTGCCCCCATTTTACCTATGCTTCCCATTGACACTTACAGAATGAATAGCGCCATCTTAGCGAATTTCCCCTCACACTAAAAGCATTAAAAGATGCTGTTGGCTGAAAATGTTGAGTAGTACAAGCATGGTTTCATAAGTTTTGTGTAAAGAGGAATGAACATCACTCTATACAAAGCCATTTCACAGGTATGGAACGGACTATATGCAGACTGTATTGTAGAATATTTCAATCATTATTTGATGTATAGTCTAGTATATGCAGTAGAGCTGCTTTTCAAATCCAAGAAATGAAAGAGTGGCTACTGGTCAATTATTCTTCTACTCTTTTGGATCTTACTATGAGTATCTTAAGCCAATGAAACACATCAGCATTCTTAATATTCTCAAGACATTACATCAAATAATTTGTAAATAGTGCATGTTATTAAAGGAAATATTTCAATTCAGCACTTTCTTCACAAGAGACATTGGATCGATCTATTGTCATAGTCTCAAGTTTATATATCTTAAGCCACCCTAAACTTTGAGAAATAATCATCATTATATGACTGTTCTAGGATTATGACAGGTTATAGGCCTTACAAATAATGTTGGAAGATACAGATTTCTCTAAAATGTATGTTTAAATGCATTATTATGCCAGGAGAGATTCCTAGTTAATATGGAGAGATGAATATGGATTGTTTGATTCCTAGGTGTACCTGGTGATCAGTGCATTGGAGTAAAGCTATTGACTGTGTTTCAGAAGAAACCTGAGCTAGCCTTTGAAGGACAGTTACCAATGAGTCCCAAGACTACATTAGCATGGATTGGGTAAGAACTCAATCAATTGTTTTCATATATCATATCAGTGTTTCTTACCTCTTATTGGAATCATTACCAAGTTATCTGTTTTTAATCGGGAGAAGCATGCTCACTTTTTAAAGGGGCTGTAGCATGGGAAATACTGGTTGACGCCATCTATGTCTTCTTTTGGACAATTGCACGTAAACGAATGGACTTGGTTAACTGGGTCAGCGTGCTAGCGTTTGGGAAACAGACCGAAATTCTCCTCACGCTTCAGTTTGCGTATGTTGCACGCACATGGATAGTTAGGCCTACTGCGGTCGTGTCGTTCGTAGTCGTATTATACCCGATTTTCCCCCGAGTGTGCCTCGGGAAAGACGCATATTCTTGTTATGCTACAGCCCTTTTAATTTGTTTTCTAATGTCTTGGCATTGAATTTCAAATGTTTTTTATTTAGCTATTTATCTCATCTGTCCGTCCATAAACTTTTACATTTTGAACTTCTGAAAAAAGCATGGCTTGATTTTAACCAAACTTAGTGGGATTCAACCTTAGGCAAGGTTGTTCAAATGGATTAATGGGGTATGTACCCCCAAGAGGGCTTCCTTAGATGCAGTAATTGCACATTTTCATCTTCTTGAAAACTTTTGTGGCTGGATTCTAAAAAAAATGTTGGAATCATGCTAGAGGCAGCATTCCCTAAAGTGCCCCTAAGGCTATAATTAGACTTTTTAAACTTTGGAAGCATTTCTCAGTCAGGGGGGATACAAATATTGTTCTGAGGGCTACTGACCCCTCTAGGAGGATGGGGCTTGGGAGTAGCACAGCCCTCCCCCCCCCCCCCCTTAAAAAAATCCTCCGGTTTACATTTTCACCTTAAAAAAAAAAAAGCAAGGCCAGAATTTAACCAAACTTGATAAGCTTCATTCTTAGGTAAGGCTAACCTAAATAAATTTAAATGGGGAACCTACCCCCAAGGGGGGGAGGGGGTGGCTGGGGGCAGTGCCACTAAGTGCCCCTGTGGCATGTATTAGGTGATCTGCTAATTTCGTCAGAATGTTTATTATTATTTCTTTCTTACCTTTATGTAGCTCGACTTTCTATTGGAAGAGCGAATCTTTTGGATTTGATAGGCCCTGCATGAAATCATCTTGACACGATTTTTGTAAACTCATATTGTTTTTAACGGATCAATGTTCATTTCTGCGTCAAACTTGGTATTCAAGTCATATGTCATCCTAAAAATGCTAAAAAAAATCCACCATCCAAACAGCAGTTGACTGAATAAATCTATAATATTGTTCCACAGATTTACAGCAGAAGGTACTGCAGTCAGTGCCGATTCAGGAGGTGTGATCCAACTCTTCAACCGTAAGCTGATTTCATGGACACCAGTAGCACACACAAAAAACCATGTAAGTCTCTTCATAAAAACCAATTTGAAATAGGAAGCACAAATGTTGTAGATTCATGCACTGTCACAGTATTACTGTCCTTGCGCAGGGCATGTTATTTACGTCGCTTGTCTGGCCCCATGTTTTTTAATGGTTACAAGGTTGGATGCAAACATGGTTAGATTAGTATGAGAACCTCTAATAGGTAACTGGCTTGAATGCTGAGACCTAGTGGAGTTGAGGGTGCACAGTAAAATGCAGAATTTAAATTTTATTAAATCCAATGACTTGACTATGGTATTATTAAATACTGTACGTTATTTGCCTATGGCCACCGAATGTGATGCCGGCGGTTTAATGTTTTTAAGTTGTCCATCCAGGTTTTTTTATGCCTCCGTTACGAAGTAGCCGGAGGCATTATGTTTTCGGGTTGTCCGTACGTACGTACGTCCCGTTCTCGTGATCGCGTTATCTGAAGAACCGATTAATGGATTCCTGTCAAACTTTGGTCATGTATGTATCTTGCAGAGCCGATGAACTGATTAGACTTTGGGGTCAAAGGTCACAGGGCTCATTATGTATGCAAAAACAGCTTGTGATCGCGTTATCTGAAGAACCGATTGATGAATTCCTGCCAAACTTTGGTCATGTATGTATCTTGCAGAGCCAATGAACTGATTAGATTTTGGGGTTACGAGGTCAAAGGTCAAAGGTCACAGGGCTCATAATGTATGCAAAAACAGCTCGTGATCGCGTTATCTCAAGAACCAATTGATGGATTCCTGCCAAACTTAGGTCATGTATGTTACTTGCAGAGCCGATGAACTGATAAGATTTTGGGGTCACGAGGTCAAAGGTCACAGCGCACATTATGTATGCAAAAATAGCTTGTGATCGTATTATCATTAGAACAGATTGATGGATTCCTGCCAAACTTAGATCATTTATGTATCTTGCAGAGCCAATGAACTGAGTAGATTCTTGGTTCATAAGATCAAAGGTCATGGGCTCATTATTTATGCAAAAATAGCTTGTGAACGCATTCTCATGAGAACTGACAGATGGATTACTATTTAACTCAGGACATCTTGCAGAACCAATGAACTGAGTAGATTTTAGGGTCATGAGGTCAAAGATCAAAGGGTCATATATGTATATGAGAAATTGCTTGTAATCACGATATTCTGAGAACCTGTTAATGGATTACAATTGAACTTGAATTTGAAAAATTTCTTCCGTTTCAGTTTGTAAAATTGCTCTATGACGGAGGCATCATTTTCGACTGCGCGCAGTCGAATTCCATCTAGTTTACAGATCATAAGAGGCATGATGTTGAAATTTGATGGAAGTAGTTATTAGGTATCGGCACATGAAGATGATTTGATTAAATAATGGGCAATTAGGTCAAGGTCTATTGTCTTAGTGGTCAGTTTCTGAAATAATATCCTTTAGCCTTGTTATTGCGATATCTCCGGAAACTAGAGGTAGGAGCTTTAAACTTGGTGATAGTATGTATCACCATAAGACGTACGGCATCCTCAGATTTTAGGTTAAGTAGAACAACGGTCATAGAGGTCAATCTTTGACATCAGAGGTATCAACCTTGTTATCACAATATGTCAAGAACTTCTTGAGGTATGAGCTTTAAAAGTGATGACACTATTTCTACAGGAAGATAATCCAATTACATTTTGAGCTAGTAGGTCAAGATTTTTTTGTATTGTTTATTAGTTTGACTTGACTGCTGTTGAAAGATAGCAAGCTTGTAATTAGGCAACCAGGTGACAGATGGCTTTAAGTCCTCTCCAAAGGACTTTGTAATGAAAAGTAATGCCTTACCAAAGGGCACTAGCACATCGACTTGGTTTAGAACCCAGGACCTCCTGGTTACGAGACCACTGCTCTACCACTGAGCTATCACGCTTTTGTCAGTGTATTGGTCTGATTATAGGTTTTTTGTTTTAATTGTGATTTGTCATGAATAATTCCATCCATTTCCTATACTGAATACAGGGTGGAGGCATTCAGGAGACGCTATCATACTTGTCTTGTTTTAAATACCTTTCAATCAAAATTCATTCTGCTCTCTTGTAAATTTTAGAAAAAATATATTTTTACTAATTTTGTTCCGAGTATTCATAGGAGAGTTGTCAAAGATTACATCACAATCATATTTTTAAATTTGCCTTAAGAGTGAAATTATCAGATGTGTTCTGATATCAGTTGTGAAAAGTGCAGAATAATCTGTATCTGATTTCCTGCACAGAGTCACCAATTTGTTTCTCTGATATTTAGCTTTCATTCATAATTTGTTGAGATAAGATTTCCTTACCAAGTCTTGCTCTTTTTTCCTCCCATGAAAATTGTTTGGTAGACAAAGGCTCATTCTGATTGCTATTGGATTGTGGGAGTTCATGAGAAACAGCAGCAGATCCGATGTATTGCATGTAAGGGAGCTCCGTTTCCTCCTACTTTACCACGTCCAACGGTTACTATCCTACCACTTCAACTACCATTGTGTGAACTCAATACAGAGAAGGGTCAAATGGAGGTCAGTATAATTGCTACTATCTTTACTAAGAAGTGAAAAGATGAAATGGTTCAGTATGATTTATTTTTGGAAATAGATTGTAAAGATCTAACATTAGTTACAAAGATATGGGGAACACAAAAGTGAAGTGGCCTGGTATGATATATTAAATATTTTATGTGTATTTTGCTTTCTTTCACCTCGCCCTTCTTCCCCATCCCCCTTCCCCATCTCCCCATCTCCCATCCAGAACAATGCATTTGCTGAGTTCATGCTCTGACATGTTTTTCTCTTGTTTTTATTTTATGAGGGTGTGTGTGTCACAAGGATTGTGGTTGTCTAAGTGGCGATACACACATATAAAAACAATCAATCAAAGAATGAGTTGTAATATGATAGTGGTGATTTTAATTACACAATACAACGAAATGCAACATAAATTCAAGATATTGAGCGTTGACAAATCCAAAATATATCAGCTTATAATTTCCTAAGAGGGTCAATTAAATTAAGGCTGCCATTATACTATTCGTTCAATGGATAACGCGTTACAAACGTTGGAGTGCGTGACAAAGTCCACCGCGTCAGACGATTGTGTGCGCGAAAATGACCACCGCGTTAGATGACCGTGGAATCATGTAGAACGAGAACTGGGTCGAATGGCTCGATGGCTCGTGATGAGTTCACCATATTGCAGGGTAGGAAACAGTCTAAATCGGTCTCTTGTACTTCGGAGAGTCGATCAATGGAATGTGGTTGAACACCACCCTAAACGGCTGTAATACAATCAATAAACAATAATAAACATGGTATCCTATCATATTAGTTTGATACAAAAATACATCAACAAATGTTCTTAACATGTAAGGACTTTCTCACAATATAAACATACAATGTTGACTTAAACATCATTAATAGAAATACACGAAATCAGTTAGCTTTAACATATCTAAAGACAGAAACTTCCTTTCCAGTATCTCATACCAGCCTTTGTAAATAATGCTAATAACATTTCAAATTATTTCTGGCTTTTAGAAATATGTTTATAACAGAAACAGTTAATGCATTCTGCTTGCATCAAAATTCAAGATGGCTACCGGGTACCTGCCATTTAATATATTCAAAATGGCTGACTTTCAAAATGGCTGACATTCCAGCATGGCTGACTTTCCGTGTCTGCCGGAAAAAAGGCACTTACAAAAACAATAAATATTTCAAACATGTATTGTGTCGTTTCACATGACAAAATCCCAATTAAATTACTTAAAGACAAATATTCATATGTAACATCTAGAAACATTTCTCCAGGCATCCGTTTACACTATAGGGCATAAAACAGGGTCATAAATGTGAATAAAATGAGAGATGAGCTTAGAGGTAAGACTTACAGTTATTCTGTAGATTGAAGACCCCGTTGCCTGCCTCCTGGAGGGATCGTGTCCGAAGGACGGTTGTCTGCTCCTTCCGCTCCCAACAGCAGAATGAGAAAGCAGCAATAAAAAAGGGGACCACACTCGCTCTGAACAGCAAGCCCAAAAATCCTCCCTTCACTCTCAAACGTACTCCCTCCCCAAGGGCGACACAGCAGGTCCTTCTCTACTCGCAACAAAATGGCTTCTGCCCACCACTCTCGCTAACGTATAACACGTACACATTCACACTCTCCCCAAACGTAACCCAGTCACTTGCGCGCTAGTGTTAAATTTGCATATCTAAATTCCTAGGACGAAGAAACAAAGGAAAAGGAATGCGCGCATCCAGACTTCGCATCTGAATAAGAATTAGAGAGTTCAGAGGGCAAATGGAAAGCTATGCATGAATATTCACCCAGCTAGGAAAACCATAAATCAGTGCATTTTATTTTGACAGTGTGAATATAAACGTTGCTCATTCATGGTCAAATGCTCTCCTATTACATAAGATTGCAATCTTCAAAGTTCAATTGTATAAATATACATAACATTTAGATATAGAAAAGTTTCATGTTCTTGTCCCTCAACCTTTAACTTTTCAGGAAACTTACTGGAGATTGAATCTGTTGAGCCAGCATCTCGGTGAAACTGACAATGAAATGATTCAAGCTAAGATGGAGAGAGACCAACAAGATAATCTCATGAAGTTATTTGCTGTAAGTTTCAATGGATTATCTGTTATTTAAGGGTTGTTCACAGTCAATTTGCTATGTTATCTTAATGGTAATAATCAATTTGTTAAAATTGTAAGCTATGTCTGTGGTAGATCAAAAACAGAACAAGTAAATGCGTTACAGATTAAGAAAGTTTCCCACATTTCTTCTAATTTGTCTAGCTTGCATGCCGTTCAGAGAGAGAGTTTCGTGCTTATGAAGTATGTAACCTGATGACATCCCATCAGAGTGTAAGCTTGGCTATTAAATATGCCAGTAGATCACGTCGTATGGCTCTTGCACAGAGACTAAGTGAGATGGCCAGTCGATTAATGGAGGAGGAAGAAGAAGAGGAGGAAGAGGAAGAAGTGTTACTTCATCATGACAGAGTGTAAGTCAACTTGTCAGTTTAAGGAAAACTTTGGAATAAAGCATTATATCTATCTAGAACTTGAGTGAGGCACCAACAGGGGTCTGAAGGCAAAAAACCTTTTAACCCTATTACTATGACTAATCATGCCATACCTTTTTAATGACTTTTTTTCCATTAACCCTATTTTAACTGGGCTATTTCAGACCAGGTTTTTACTGGGGGGGGGGGGGTCAATTTACCCCCCCCCCCCCCTTAGATCTCGGCCGTTGCACTGCCGATCTCCGCGAAAATTTGCATACATGTCAAGTGAAGTGTATAGAATACTATGGTAATTTCAATTTTTTTTTAATTCACTCATTTGCATATTTATGGTAATTTATGCAAATAAGGTCATAAAATTCACATTTTTGCCCATAAATCATACATTATTCATATTTAAGCATTCTTTTCAACTACATATATTTGTTAGACCATTTGGAATAATAATACAACAGAAAACATTTGAAGAGCGCGGTTATTCCTTATGTTATCTCTTGTTTTGATAATTTCTTATGTATTTCATTGTTTTTTAACTTATGTATTTTATTGCTTTTGTTGTTTTTGTTGTTTTATTTCATTTATAACTACAATTCAACTATTTTGACCCCAAAACAAACACCTAAACTTTAAACAAGACTAAATGACCAATGTTTTATCTCTTTTTAGGAAAAATGACATTTCCATATGTTTTGTACACAAATCACAAAAATTAGCGATTTTCGGGCTGACATGTGAAGACAAAAGGTCACGTGACTTTGTAACTATACGTCCGATTTTCAAAAAAATTGTTTTAAAAGATGCGTAAGACTCAAAAGCGGTTTCGGAGTAGTCGCGAAATTTCTACAGGGGGGGTCAAATTGACCCCCCCCCCCCCCCCCCCCCCCCCCCCCCCAGTTAACGTAGGGTTAAGTGTTATGCAACTTTTGAGACCAAGTTAATATTTTGTTATTATTATTATTATTATCATTATTTTTATTATTATTATTATTATTATTATTATTATTATTATTATTATTATTATTATTATTATTATTATTATAATTATCAGTACTATTGTTATTAATATACATGTATGTAGTAGCAGTAGTAGTAGAAGCAGTAGTATCATTAATGCATTGCAAAATATATAATGACACAATACATCAATACTCAATCTGTTAGCATCAAGGACATAACATTGTATAACGAGAAGTAAAGGTCTTTTATCTTTGCATTATTCAGTATTCCAAGTAATCGATTGGCAGCAACAGTGAATGAAAACCAGACTAGTCGGGTTAATCACCTTCGGGACAGTGATGAAGAATCAGAGATCAGAGAAGAGGAGGAAGAAATGGAAACGGTCCCCACATTAAATCTTGATACCAAACATGGTTGGTCAATTCATTGTATTGTTTTCCTTTCTTGTTCTTAAATGTACAATGCACCTTGGAACCAATTTCTTAAGAGTTGGTGCAACTTAACTGCATTGTACTGATAGCACCTATTCAATAAGCTTACGACGCAACCGAGTTCACAAATGTGTATTCAAAATTATTTTTCAAAAACATTTTGTGAAAGAAGATTTCTATCAGGATGCCTATCCCATCGGTAAATGGTAGAGATGTGTTTAAAGATTAAGACCAGTTCTGGTCGCGCAATCGCATTGTGAAAGAAACGTTGTGGAATCGATCAGAAAAGGTTGATCATCTAGCATAAAAGTATTGGTGTGTACTGCAAGGTTCTGGAATCATCAAAATGATAAGAAATTTGGCCCAGTCTTGGTAAAGTTACAAGCACTGTACACAGAAAGATGTATATGGGACTACGCACACGTGCACGACACGTGCGTTATATCTATCAGGTCCAAATAGATATAATACTGTACCAAATATATCAATTAGTAGGCGGTTTCTCGGCAAAATTTGTATGATCATGTAATAGTCAAAACATATTCTTTCACATGATTTCATTTTTTGAGAGGGGGGCATTTCCAAAACTGGTCTTTACCTTTAATATATAGAGCAAATACCATCATGAGGACAGAGACTAAAAGGTTTCTTCTTTTTGGGGGGTTTAGAGAAAATTCCATTCCTTATATCTTTACCATCTAGACAAGTTTTTTTTTTTTTTTCTTCTTCATGTAGAGAAAATCCTATCTCTGGTAACGTCCATTCAATTTTTCTTTTTTGGGGGTACCATTTAATGAATGTTTTTTCTTTTTGTTTTTTACTTCTTTATTTGTATAGAGAAAATTCCATCCTTGTTACCTTCGAGTCAAGGAAGAAGAAACCCATTCAAGAAGCAGCAGGACAGAGCAGGCTCTAATCCAAGAGGAACTAATGTGTTTGATGAAATGAAGAAGAAATCACCAGACACAAAGATTCAAGTCAAGCAAGGTTAGAATGTATAGCCATACTATATGTTCTCTCTCTCTCTCTCTCTCTCTCATTCATTCTCATATGGTATTCCTGTAGTATACCTTTAGTGTTTACACCCCAGAATGATTTTCTAGATTGATGAAACACTATGAATATTTATTCATCTTACTTATTTATTTATTCATCTTACTTATTTATTTATTCATATTTGACCATCATGGTACCCATACAGCAAAGGTTGGTCTTCCATGGGGCCCTGAAAATACAGCACAACTATATGCAATTAAAAAATCAAAGAAGCATAATAAGGCAAATGAAATATTGCACAATATAAACAAATTCAATGCAATTGTACAGGATTAAAAACATTATCAATAATCAATGTAAATAATGATGCGAGAAAAGATGAGCAAATACATAGAAATATATCATTTGCTAAGAGAGGAATAGGAGAGGAATCAGAAAGAAAGAGAAAGATGGCAGAAGCGTGGAGCGGAAGGTACCAACAATGAAGAGAAAAAAGTGAGAAAGTCGTGAGTAGAAAGTAAAAAACAGAGTTGCTTTCCAAAAAGAAATATGTTCTTTCACACTTTCCTGACATATCAGCAACATGAAAAAATGTTCTTAAGAGCCAATTCGAAAGTCTTTACATTACTTATTTTTTTTAAGTTTAAAGGTACATCATTCCAGAGAGTTGCACCATCATAACATATTGCATTCTTATGTACGACATTTACCAATGATTAGATTGTGATTGGCACATTGTCAGGTATTAATATTATGTACTGTTGATACAACTTGAAAAACCTTTTTGTCAAAGTCTGCAGATTTTTAATGTCACATATCAGGCAGTGTCTGAAGAATCATTATTAGATAAAGCAGTGCTTACAATTGAACTATTGTCTTTATTGTTGGGACACTGTTTCACTGACATGCACAAAAGGGAGTTGTGGAGGCCTTGGCGATGTCCAATTGTAGTGATTTGTGGAGATGGGAGGCTGCTGCGTTGATGCTCCAATGTTTTGATTGCTAGAGCTGTAGTTCACATATAGCTGACCTTTTATGCCCTTCTTTATAAATGCAAGTTGGATTTAGAAGTCATCCTCCGAGCCAGAATTAGCCTCTGCTGGAACCTGCAAGTATTATGTAATCTTAGGTGCAGTAGGGTATGACGTAGCACTTCTTTGCTTGCTTCCTCTACCATTTCTTATGTGCTCTTGGTAACGTAACTGTCCACCACAAAGCTCTCGTACCGCAACACAATGGGAAAATTAAATCAACTCTGTAAACTCAGTAAACTCTCTAGGAAATCTCAGATCGAAATATAGTTTAGTTGTAGCAGTATTAGAAGTATCGGGGTGTTGGCTCAGTCAGTAGAGCGTCCGCCTCACACCTGGGAGGTCGTGGGTTCGAACCCCGGCCGCGTCATACCAAAAGACGTTAGAAGACAGGAGTTGCTGCTACCTTGTTTGGCGTTCAACAATAACGGATAGAGCAACGTCGATCTGGCGCTGCTCAGTGGCTGCAGGGCTCATGATCAATTGGGCAAAAAGAATTTCCATTTTCAGTTTAACTAAATAAAATTTGAAGTGGACTTTAAAAGATTATTATTATTATTATGATTATGATTATTATTATTATTGTTATCATCATCATTACATGTATTTATATAGCATTATTAGTAATACCATTGTTAAGATTGATACAAGGTGCTCTCGGAGATCTTACAGGACTGCTTCAGGATCAACTCAGTCACACTGTAAAACATCATGGAGAGTTTATGCTCTCTTTAGTCATCCATAAAGCAGATGTTGTATGCATGTTGCTTCCAGGCCACCAATGTGAATCATGTGGGAGCTGCATCAGCCTTGCATATATAATTTGTATGGTGGAGAAGGCAGTATGAGACCACATTGGCTGGTTAAGGGTGCACTGGAAGAGCCCTGAAATAGGGGTACAGTTTAAAAGGTGTTTTACATACAAACTAGAATGATCTTTACTCAAAGGCCATGTCATATCATTGATGTTTATTGAATAACAGGAAAGATATCACACAAGATAGCAACAAGTAATGGAGATGTCACCAAACCAAGAACTCAAGCAACTTTGTTTACTTCCAAGACAAAACAGAGTCAGGAGACAACAGATACTTCAGCTCGAAACAAAAAGTAGGTTTATCTTCGTTCATCACTCACATATTTAAATTCAAAAATTCTACTTTTGAATTCATTATTATTCTAGGGTAATTGTCCTTAAAGAATATTGTCTCAGGGTAGTTGCCTATTAATTGTCCAGGGGTTGCTGTCCAGATACTGCTGAAGTATGATATATGTCTCAATAACAGGACTAAATTAATTTAGAATTTATTTGAAAATATGGAGTCCAGAAGAAGAGTCCACAGCACTGAAAAGTTTGAGGGAGGTTTTATTCATGAATTTGCAAACTTTTTGCCACTTTTAGACTTCATTCTTTGATAACTATGCTCTAAATCATTACTTGAGTATCTGAAAACCTGAAATCTGGTAAATCAAGTTCAATTTTTCCCCAATACAACACACTTGAAGACACCATACAAACAACTATGTGGCTAGTTTCGGCCAGTGTGCCATGCCTCCACCCAACTAATCAATAAAAGCCTGTTTTTGTGTACCTTCTTGGTTACTTAGATGGTTATATATTCACCATAAGAAGCAGTTTGGTTTGGTTTCTAAGAAAAACATTCTACTAACCATAAATTGATGCAATTTTTAATTAGTATAGTAAATCATTTTTGTTCAGGCACCCACAAAACCACCAAAAGTTGCATGGTGTGATTTTCAGTTGGAGCTCAAATAAGGTGTATTGGGTCAGGATGGTAAAATTTTAGTTTTAATCATGTCCTGAAAGAGTATACTTTCTATGTAATTTCAGATTTGGAAGCACAAAATCATCTTAAAATGGCATTACTGCAGTGTTTTGTAGAGCTATGTTTTTCTGATCTCGAGTTTGGTGTACTAGTTTTGATTAGAACCTGGCTACTGATATAAAACAGAGTAAGCTGTTCCATTGATACCTGGATGAAATAAAGAGCAAGATGTAACTGATGCGCAAAGATTTAGGACAATCTAATTATCCCTTCAAAGAAATTTCTTTTGTATTCCTCCTTTTATCACCTTACACAATACCTTTGGAGTCAGAGTGCTTTAAATAGAAACAAAAGTTACATTCATTAGAACTTGACATTCTTCTCTCTTGTAATTGGGTTAGGAACATCCAGTTGGTATGAGTGATATATGTATATCATTTTAAAGCTCCTATCGGGGATTTTCAAGCCCTCAAAAAATTATCTTGAATTGTACCCCTAGGGCAACTACCCCCCCCCCCCCCCCCCCCCCCCCCCCCCAGGAACATATGTGAAAAGCATGTGCAAACAATTCAGATCAAAATACTCTGTGGTTTTCCTCTCTGTGAGTGAAAATGAAGGCCTTCTTTTTGTACACAACACATGGAGTGAATAAAACAGTGCTAGTTGCAACCATACTTTCAGAAAAGTTTTCAATACATTTGATCCTTTCACAAGTTTTGAGATTTTCACTGTGCAAATCCCTACAACGCCCTTCAAAGCTAAGAATTTCCTCTTTCAGAATCAGACCGAAACAAACATAATTCTGGTGACTTTTTGGCGGTTTTGTGGTGCCAGGTCTTATTTTAAGGGACTCTGACAGATGTGTTTTTAATATACATAAATGATTCCATTTCCTGTTTGATCTCCTAAAGTGAGATTTGCAGACGATACAAATATTTTGAGCTAACACAAAAAAGTTGTCCAATTAAAAGGTTTAAATGAATTACCCCCAGATAAAACAATAGTCTATTACTAAAAAAATCTTAAAGTAACAAAAAAAAACACTTAATGAACTTTAATAACTTATATTTATTTATAAATTATGGTTATTGGCTGCCATGAAACTGTATTGAAGTGAAGTATTTCTCCCATATCTTGTGTACAGGAAGCCATCAGCTTTCAATTTCTGGTTGTCACAAAATCGTGACTCATTGGAGGAGGAGAGTCCTGAACTGGGTGCTAGTGAGATCATCAAAGTGGCAATGCAGACATGGAAAAACCTGTCAAATGATGAGAAGAAGGTGAGTGTTTTTTTTCTCCTTCTACTTTCTTTCCTTTTTTTTTTTTTTTCCTTTTCATTTGTTTAGATGTGCTTACTGATATGAAGATGTCAAAGATTAGTATGTGGTTTCTTGTTATGAAAGGAAACCTGCTTGCATGTGTCTCTAATTATGGCATGCTTTGGGTTGCGATGTAAATGTGTTTCCAGATGATGCACTGACACAGCTCTTGAAAGTGATTCATCATTATGGGAAGATACTATAATACCACTCTATTAAAGCATGGGTCTATTTTTTTAAATTTAAAACAAAATTTGCAAAAAATAGGCTTTACTTCGCAATAAATCCCCCAAAATGACAAGTAAAAATGGGTAGGGGTTTGGATGCTTCAGCAGCACACCCCCATCCAAACCAAATCTGATTAGAAATAATAATGTCACCTTTCTTTGGTCTAAGATACTTACGGACGGAACTACAATAAAGGGTTAGTTTTGGTGGGTTATTCTAAAGTTAAGTCCGTCATTTTCTCAAAGTTTTGATAAGGGCCTTCCATTGTTTAATTCTGGTCGTCAATATGATTTGAAGTATTTTTCTCTTGTTTTTTGTTGCTGCCATCACAAAATTGAGGAACCTTAAAAAACTGGAAGTAGCTCGAAATTACATCAAAGAGGCTACATCTGGGCATTTTGGCGATAGTGAGATTGCAGAGGCTTTTACATTTTGGGGTTGTCAGTCCATCTGTCCAACTTTTGTTCCTGTAATAACTTTGAGAAACGTTGAATGGGTTTAAACCAAATTTGGATAAAGTATGTGCAATCATGTATGAACAAAATTATTAGATAGTTGCATGTAAGAGGTCAAAGGTCACAGGGTCATGGAAGTGTTCTGATAATATCTTACTACAATATCTTGGAATTCATTCATCAATCAATTCTAGACTTGGGTCAAATAAGAATTTAGGGATAAAATTATTACTGGTAGGTATTATTTGTAAGAAGTCAAAAAGTCTCATAGTCATTAAAGTATTTTAATTTTTCTTTCTTCTCAGTTTCACGTTACTGTGATAAATTGAAAAAGACAAAAACAATTTTAGCCAACCAAAGAGTATGAAATGACTAACTGAAAAGAGGTATGATTCATGATGTCAGATGTTAACTTCACAGAATCATTTACTATTTGAAAATGTAGGCAAAACAGAATATTGAACTGGCAATCACATTCATCTATTTGGGGATAATGTAACAGTGGAATCTTGCTACAACGAGGCCCTTGGGACCATAGAAATTACCAGAATCTTGTTATACCAGGGTAAGAAAACCAAAGAATATAAAGTGCTGGGACCAGCAAAATCACCTTGTTATATCAGAGCTCTTCATCATCAAGTTTCAATGTACTGTAAAACACCTGAATATCTGTGCAAGATTGCAGTTAACCTCCCTTTTAAATAATCTTGTTTTCTTCAATTCATGTAGGAATGGGAAGAGAAGGCAGCAGAGTCAGTCACCGAGGCGATCGAGCAAGATCATCTTCCAGATACAAAACCTGAAAAGAAACATCCAGAAACTAAGCAGTTGGATAAGAAGAGAAAACTGGCTGATAATGAGGCAGAGAAGGGAGAAGAAAAGAGAAGTAAACCAGGAAGACCTAAAGTCATGGAGAAGGATTCTAAGAAACAACCATTGACTGTAGCAACCAATGCCAAATTGGCTTCTTTTGCATTCAAAAACTGATTCATCTCACCATCACATGCAGGCTGTATAATAATGCATTACCAATATGCCAAGTAGCATTTATTTACACAATGAAAATTCCATGTTTATCTAAAAAAAAAACTCCACGTTGTCTTCTTCAGCTGAATACAAACACTCCTTGTTCTTTGCCTTTTCCCTACAAACAACAGCTACTGCAGTTTATGAACACATGCATGCAAGCAATAAGATGACAAGATATACAAGTTCCTTCATCTTATTGAACTAGGCTTTGTTTGCAAAGGTCTTCCTTCCCCTCTTCTCTCTCTCTCTCTCTCTCTTATTCACCACTATGCAAGTTTACAAGGAAAACAAATCTTTATCTCACAGAAAGCTGTTTACCTGGGATGGGCATGTAATGTATGTAGGCAATTATGTGTATACTTTCATGTGTATACTGCAATCTGTTTCATTACTAGTAATAAATCATGAATCAAAGACTAGATATTCGATCAAACAATTTTAAAAAAGATTGGTAGGAACTTGACTCAACATGTGGAGTCATTGTTATCTAAGGTACCTATGCAGAATGAATGTATGTGTAATACTTGTACTTGTAAATTTGTTTTCTTTTTGTTGTACTCTCAGACCCTGGGAGGGGGTTAATACATACTATACTATTATATGTAAATTGTAGATCATTATTAAATGGAATAATTAAGGTTTTACATAAACTGGAAATTGTATTTGAGCAATGTATTGACCACTTTTGAGATGAATACTACCCATCTAACCTATTGACTTGTGTGTACAAGGAAGCTTTAACCTTTATCTATTCACTTACACTGTACCTATAGATTTGCAGTAATATTCATCATGTATTGTATTGTATTGTATTTATTAAACTTCATTGATGTACATCAATATTCTGTTTATAAACATATAAATCAATTTACAATGTAAACAAAAAGCTTAAATAATTATCATTCAAAGTCATACATTATTGTTTTATATCCCACTGCTGTACTGTGATAAGTATTTTTGTATGGGGTGGCTCTAAAATGCCACATGATTTTGTAAACCCCAGAACTTTATTCAGATTTCTTTAATCCTAGATCATAGATAGCAAAGATAGAAAAGCGAGAAATGAGAGGTAGGAGTAATTTATATTCCGGCACCTGGCCAGGCTCGTAGATTCAAACAATGTTAATGTGCACCATATAATTGCAAGCCCTATCTCCAATCAACACACTGAGATTGCATAGGGATCCATGGAGTGAAAGGGTCGTATGCAGAAGTTAGTAAAGCCATGATTTAGCATTCCATTCCAGTCACATATTTACATTAATATGCATCAGAAATCCTTGAAGGGAAGAAATATCAGATGTTTTCACTCTTTGTCATTAAAAATGTACATCCGCTTTTTGACAGTGAATGCATAGTTATGTTCGTTGTTTTACCCATTTGTTTTTGTTCATGTTTGTTTTATTTTTATAGTTTTTATATAGTTATATATATATTTTAATAACATGTGTGCAAAGATGCCAACCAGTACGATTAAATTGTATTTAGTACGATAATATAGTATTAATGACGGCTTTGAGAGAAATAGTTGTTTTTATACGCTCAAGGGAAGGTTACAATAGCCCAATTGTATCCTTCCCGAGAGTGTATAAAAACAACTATTTCTGGAATATTAAAGCAGTCATTAATACTTTCCCGGTAACTGGAATTTTACTGGGAATTTTACAAGAATAGTTAAAACCATGACTGCAATTTTGATGGCTGGATTTCTTAAGTGAGGTATTTAATAAGAGATATCACCTCTTAAAATACAATTTATTTTTTTTTAAATTTTCTCAAAAGAAACAACAAAAATTTCTCTCCAAAATCTGATTATCATTTTTTAGGATACTCCGTTTGTTTTTTTGTGTCAAGAGGTTGGCATCTCTGTGTGTGTCCCATCCATGTATTTAAATGATTGCCTTATAACCTGGATCAATGTAAGGGCCAATGTAATTTGCAATCACAAGCATGTGAAGATTACTACTCCAAATCTTTATAGCCATTTCTGATCCCTGGACCCCACACTGTAAAGGCTTCACACTCGCAAAGATTCAGGGAAAAAATATTTTACAAATTTAGGGGGGTACTTTTCAAGCTTGCTTGCATAAAATTAAATTTGTTTTGCATTGAACTCTATGCAAAAAAATTTGTGGAAGGGCTCTTTTACAACTTTCGGGGGCTTTTTTTGGCATATCTGGGGCATATTATATTATAGATTACTTCTTGAAATCTTTATAGCAATTTCTGATACCCGAACCCCACACCGGAGAGGCTTTACACTCGCAAAGATTACTACTCCAAATCTGTAGTACCACTAGGGATACGAGGCTCAAACTTGGTGATAATATCTATTATCGTATGAAAACGCTATGACAGTATTACTATCAAAAAATGATCCCATTACATTTGGGGCCAGTAGGTCAAGATCTTTGGTTGACACTTATAAATAGGCTTTTGTTTTCAATGTGATATGTTACAAATAATTCCATTCATTTCCTTTACTGAAATTCAAAGGCATGACATGTTGCAATTTATTAGAGCATAATTAATGTCGGTTAAAGAACATTTACATCTATATTTTTAGCATAAGTACACCATTTCGTATTTAGCCTAAGTACACCCAGGATGATATATGTATATTAAAAAAAACTCTAATCTAATTTTAGTAATATATCCGGATATACACAAGAATGATAATCAATATTATACATCATATAAAGTATGTTACATATATATATTTCAAGTACTATAAAAAAGAAATCGTACATAAATTAATCACAAAGATGTCACACACACATTTGTGGAGGCCCTTAACTCTCTCCCCACCGACCTCTTTTTCAGAGAGGCAATGTGAAAAATGTTAATTATATCAATTGATAAAATCTGGACATAATAATGGTATAGGCAGTGCTTATCAAAGTACTTCATACAATTAACATTAAATAAACCACAAAATAATAATCTATTCAGGTCTACCTTTTGGTACTTAATAACTCTTTGGTCCCACTACACTATTTTCTAGTAGCCCCTGCGATGTACCTCTCAAACCACCAAGAACAACAAATTCTACTGGGTTTTATCTTTAGAATATTATTGGTCATATACAAACAAAGAATTTAGTACTGCAGCTCCATTGTGTATGGTACATATGTATAAATTAGCTGATTGTGGTCTACAAGCTGATAACAGCCTAATATCCATTTTGAGGAAATAAATTATCTTCATACTTTTTAGACCATTCTTTAGGTTAGTTTTGTATTTGTTTTCATTTTGAATGATAGATGAGGGACAAACCATGCATCCATGGATATGTACTGGTTCAATATGCATTAAACATTTATGAATTATATATGTACAGTACGTCCCAGAAAAAAACAAGACAAGAATTGTCTATGTTTTATCATAACTTAATCACAATTATAAATAATAAATGACACATATTTGTAAAGCTTAGATTCTCCTCTTTCATTTCATTTGATGTAACTCATATGATGCATATGAAACTCTGTTTTGTTGACAATCAGCCATGCATGAAGTCCTACGTCTTCCTTGTTAGGGCAGACAGCCAGTGGAACAGATTTGTTTGATAAAATTGTGGAAATGCAAGCATTGCTTTAAATAAACAGAACTTTGTGATTTTCTCTTTGAAATTCAGATACCGTTTGCCAAATGACTTTTTGGTACCCCTTCTTCAAATTGTTTTTAATCACTCATGCATGAAATATGCATCATAATATGAGTTGCATCAAATGAAAGAGGATCTAAGCTTTATAAATATGTGTCATTTATTAATTACAATTGTGATTGGGTTATGATAAAACATCAATAATTTTTGGTTTATTTTTTATGGGACGCACTGTAAGCTTAATTTTTGGTGATAGTGAGCAATGCATGTCACTTGTAGGTCTTATTTTGACCTCTCTGTGATGTCAAAATTAGCAATCTGTTAATATTCATAATGGTATATTATGTTTTGCACATTTTCTACAATTCAGAAGATAAGGACCTAATTAAGGTGTCGGTCTAGGTCATGGTTCTTCATCAAATTGAGAAGGGCCATAAATTCTGTGGTGGCATTGAGGTTATTGATATTATAATGGGAAGGGCCACAAGTGCTAGCATCCTGTTGAAGGCCCTAAAGCGCACATCAAAACTGAAGTGCAATATTGCTCCAAGTGACAAGGGCTTTAAGCAATAAAATCAAAACAAATGGAGAAATTTAGCTTACAGTGTTATATAGATGCATTAAATAACCAATATTTGCACAATGTCAACCATAAGTCACAAAACTACAAAGTGAACTGCAAAACTTAAGTTTTTTACAAGGTGCAATAAAAATAAAATTTAAAAAAATTATCTCAGTGCACTCCTCATTCTCATCAGATGAAACGATAACATAAACTGTTGTTAACTAATGCTAACAATTAAGCCTAAAAGCATTTCAACTATGTTTACAATGTATGTATCCACAAATATAGCATGTAAGCATGCTGTAACTATAAGCTGCACAAAGATTTATTCACATACAAGTACCGTAATAAAATTTACAACATTCGAACAAAATCTATTTTTATCAGTATTTGTTCCAGATTCTTTTTTTTTTGGGGGGGGGGGATCTCGAAGCAAATATTGTATGTATTGCCTACTCATATTCACATGAACAATACTTTGAACTAACAATTATTATGGAAGACTGATTAAATCTGTCTTCATAGCAGAATAGATAACATTCTTGTATTTTGAAATGTCCAGGAGTTATTTCAAGGTTCCTTGTTTGTACTTAGTCCAGGAATTTTACTACATGTATCAATGACATTTCTTACAATACACATTTTACACTAAGATAAAGGTCAATAAATCATAATTATTGATATACATTACATGGCAAGCATACACATCTGGAATTTCAAAGCGTAAATCCTTTACATACAATGCAATAGATATACAAATGTTAAACATAAATGCTAATATTTCCATGAAAGAATCTAATTTGGTACTTTGGCAGTTTCAAAAAGCAACGAATCCCACATCCTTAAATACTATTTTTAGTGATTTGCATGACCTATGATCGCTCATATGATTTACCTCTGATAAATGGGGAGCTAGTAGAGGTGTTTCTTCTCATGCATATGAACAAAGATCTTTCAATCGCAATTCATCTATGCTTCTCCAGTATATTCATTTCATTTCTATTAGGAAAAAAAGGACAGGGCTCAACATTAGCAGGGATATAATACACTATTCTCTGGCATTCAACCTGATTATCAAATGGAAATCAATATTCCACATGGCAGGATTTCACCTACTGTTGAAAGATCATTCCAACTGCTGTAACACACATATCAGTGTTGAACCTTGGATAAGGATCTGATTAAGCAACTTGAAATCAGAGGCTTATGATAATACACAACCCCCTTTGTATCAATGACTCATTTTATTCGTTATCATTAGACACAATATCAATATTAACATTATATTGATAAGTCAGTTTTATTCATTTGTTATATTTGCCAAATGCCAGACAGTAAGTAAGAAACTATTTAGAATAAAATTGAAATATTCAATGTTAAAGCTTCTAAACCATATCTAACCTTAAAAACTCAAAGGTGCTGCCGGTCATCACCCAAATCTAATTCAAGGAGTCTCAATTTTAACAATGTTTGGTGGAATTTTCATTTAAAGCACTTTGATGGCACTACAGGAATATACTATAAACTCCTTGAGCAATTCTAATCAGGAACAGAATAATCATATAAACAATAACATTTTTCATGGTTCATATCCCAAATTAAATTACAGTAAGATGCATTGAAAAAATACATTAAAACCAAGGTGTCATTAAAACATTGGCAACTATTCTTTTGGGGCGTATATTGTAACGTCATTAAAATTGTTGTCACATATATATAATATCTTCAATAGCGTAAGTTAGTTTTTACTTGTTAAAGCCATAACGGGACATCTTCAGTAGTGTAAGTAAACGTATTATTTGTTAAAGCCATAACGGGACATCTTCAGTAGTGTAAGTAAACGTATTACTTGTTAAAGCCATAACGGGACATCTTCAGTAGTGTAAGTAAACGTATTACTTGTTTAAGCCATAACGGGACATCTTCAGTAGTGTAAGTTAGTATTTACTTGTTTAAGCCATAACAGGACATCTCCAGTAGTGTATGTAACAGTATCTACTAGTCTGTCCTGCTGCAAAAGCTCCACTACATTCACAAGTAAAAGATACAGGATCGGAACCTGTTGTTCTCAAGAGGGCTCTTTCTCCATTCAATGTTGAGCATGAAACACCTGTTAAGATCTCCGTCTGAAAGCAAACAAAAAAGATGCACCATTATCATTATGTCCAAAAGAAATTTTGTTTCTATAAACTATCTGTTCCCCCCAAAACAACCTACCGGTATATATTACTAAATTACTGCTTGAGCATTTATGCCTGACTACTCACTATGAACATGACGGACAAAGAAAGCTGACAAAATATACAGTTCCTCATTCTACCCTCAACAATTGCTATGGTAGACAAAGGAACATCCCTTCACTGCTATTATGTACAAATGTGTAGAACAGGTGAATATGCATGTGACACCTGTTCTACTGATTTTTACATAATAGCAGTGAAGGGATGTTCCTTTGTCTACCCTAGCAATTGTTGAGGGTAGAATGAGGAACTGTATATTTTGTCCGCTTTCTTTGTCTGCCATGTTCATAGTGACTGTTGTGTCAAAAATTGAATGTAGAACCGTAATAATGAGAAAGCTTACCACTCCATCAGCAGAGATCGCATTAGTGATTGTTGTTGTTTGTGTGATTGCTGAGCCTTTATTCAATGTTTCATAAGAACATTGAGCCAGATCTGACATGCCAGATGCTCCATCACTTCCATTGAAACCTCTAGGACCTTGCAGCTTACTGATAGTCTCTAACTCTTGGTAGATACTGTTATTGTACTCTGAGAATTGTGTCATGAACGATTGCTGTACTACACTGATCTCACTGTTCAGTATTGTAATCTGTCAAAACAAACAGGTGTCACAGTCAATATCAACAATCCACATCTGATATCATTTCACCAAACCCTGGTTCATATGAAATAGTAAAAAAAACACCTTAAAACAAACATGAACAAACAGAATGGGATGAGCATAGGGAGGCTTATACATGTATTTCTACATTTTAAACACACCAGTGGAAATACTAGGGGGCGGTGGATGCATTTTGAGTGATTGTGCATTTGCTCAATAAGGTAATGGAGGATAAGGTTGCAATTGAGCTTTTTTAGATCATGTTCAGGTTTAGGCTAGGATTAACAATAGTGTGTAGTCTATGTTGAAGTTAAGAATATCTGCTAGGGCAGGAATTTGGTCATTCAGCCATTGTCACCCGATCACATATGTCAAAGAAGTGATAGAACAATAATTTTAGTTTTTTACTGGCTATGGTTATTATTTTGCAGCTGTAATCTTCTATGCAGTAAGTGGTAACATTTTTTATGAATGTGTATTTATGTAAAAGGCAATTGATTCTTATAGTTAGTATTATACACCTGAGATCAAAAGACCTACTTGTTAGCTTAAACGAATCTACAACCAAAAAATCTCTTATCTGCATTTTTTTCTTAATGTAAATGAAAAAAGAAATATTTTGATGTACAACAAATTCATTAAAGGTAATACCGGTACAAAGTTTTAGTATGAGGTCATGAATTTGGTTCAAATGAACAAATTGGAAGCAATTTTGAATATTCAATGATCGTTTTTGCAGTTGAAATCAAGTCTAAAGTGATGAAATTGAAAATAATAAACTGTTTATGTTGTACTTAAGCTTTAAAACAATGTTTCTTGATTACAATCGCCCGATTTGCTACTCCCATTTGGAAACTATAATTCGGAACTGCATATTCTGAGATTTTCATGGTCGCAGCTACCATGGAATGGCCTTCGCGCTAAAAATTTACTATCCATCCAATTTTCAAAATTTCCCACAACTTTGCAATGCCTTTAAGTTTTTTGTATACATGCACTATTAAAAACTCAGCACAATAATAAAGTCTCAAAGCAAGAATATCAAAGTATCATACATGATACATGTCATATTTTTGTTCTTTACAACTAGAGCAGTACTCTTTTCAAGACAAAACAGGAATGTTTGCATCTTAAACTGACCTTATTGTCTTGTTCTTGATTGTCATTCTCTATGCCGACAATGCTCATACTATGGGTCTGTAGACTACCTCTCAGTGATTTCACCTGTAAATTTAGTGTTAGTAAATATAACATTATTTTATAACATACTTAATATTGTACATTTGTTAGTAAATATAACATTATTTTATAACATACTTAATATTGTAAATTTGTTAGTAAATATAACATTATTTGATAACATACTTAATATTGTAAATTCAACCCTAGACATGAAAATGTTACCATTAACTGACTTTGGCCAAGAGAAAGTGCTTTAACAAACCCCTGCAATCTTTACTCTGTTCAAGACATATTTTCTCATTTAATTGCATGAAAACTAGAAATATACATGTGGGAATGGTGACTACATGTAACAACTAATTTATGTAGCCTAGTTTTAATAATATACACCTTACATTAATCGGAACACTATTATATTACAAATTAAAAATAATTATTTTGTCTCACCCTAACCCCAGTCTCCCCTATCTTTAGTACACCTAATATAAGATTTCTAAGTTGAACACTATGGGACACTCTTTATGACAAGACCAACAATAAAAACAAAAAGATAATTAACAATCTTATGTAATGATATTTTGATAAAAGCTTGTAGATTTGGAGAATAATAGTTTGTAGCATAAAATCTCACCTGTCCATCAAGTGTCTGTGTTTGATTCTCTAGTAAGGTAATCTAGGATAAAGCAAAAGAAAAAGAGACATGAATTCAACTAAATCAAAAAAAGCATATTTCACAAATGTAACATGTACCATGGTGAAGATACTTTGTGCACCACTTCATCTGATACTTATGAAGACAAGAAAGAGGAATTCAAATCAAGCGAATTACAAATTAATCATTAAAATAAAAATGATCTTAACTTAGTTGATTAAGAATCCAAAGCGGTCTTATTACGATGTCTGAACTCTAGAAAATCTCAACCCTACTCTGACTGGGCTTTTCAACAATGGGGAGGGGAGTCAATTAGACCCTTCATTTTAGTGTTTTTCTCTTATTCTATGACATATCGCTGACTAAATCGAGCTGGATACCCTGTATATGAATTCACATTTATATGTTTGTGTGTATGTGTGTGTGTGTGTACACTGCGACCCATAGCAATTTAATTAGGAATTTAGTTACTGTATACACATGTATTATCTCTAGTGAATACCGTCTGAAGGTTTATCCTACCCATCTTATTAATAACCAGGTTTACATCTCCTCTTCATAGTCATAAAAATGGGGCCAATGGCTCACAACATGTTGTTTCTGTAAAAAAAAAAAAGGTGTCATCTTTTATAAATCATTCCATTTATCAAATTTATTACACAATCGTGTTACAATTATTATTACACTGGCTAACCACATTCAAGAAAGTAAACACAACTTTGTGGCTGTGGTAGATCCATGTACTTACCCTATTCAAGAATGCAACCTGCGTAGAGATTGTGCTTGCTGCTTGTTGATGTGCTAGTTCTGCTGTCTCTTTGACCTCCACAAGTTCTCTATCGGACTCTGAGAGAGATTCATTCAAGGTCATCAACTGAAAAGGATACACAAAATGAGGAAATGTATTCTCAGACAAAATCAATGTGAGGAATAATTCTATAAACATTCAGAAAAATAAGTAGTCTGAAACTACAGAAACTAAACTTCAGTAAAATTGGAAATATAAGTTAAATATTCATCTTTTTAAATTGAATACCAGTATGCTACTTCTTCCCCTGAGTTGAGGTACGGTAATATCTTTATAATGATTTAATATACATGTAGAATTAATTCATTATTTTGTTGCACACTGTGCCAATTATTATTGTTGATGAAGATATCCATGATTAACTACATGTCAGCATTCAGCATAATAATAACATACTGTTCAGGTATAGTGCATATAGCATTATAATACAATTATCACCCAGGCGATTAGCTCAGCAAACGTAGCACTCAGTGCATTAAAGGAAAGATCCTACCAGGTATTCACTTACTCCACCTGGGTCAAGTCTGGTAAATGTAAATTTTTGTCTTGCCAAAGAATTGTGCCATCAAACGAAATCGAGCCCCATACCTGATTATCTGCAGAGAATTATTCACTAGACCACAACATTTCTCACTTCTGTGGCATTGTTTGTCTGATACTACTTTACCATGTAAATATTCTGTGCCATTGTATTTCTGATACTTACCATAAAGTATTCTGTGCTTTTGTATGTCTGATATACTACTTACCATGTAAGTATTCTGTGCCATTGTATTTCTGATACTTACCATATAAGTATTCTGTGCCATTGTATGTCTGATATACTTCTTACCATGTAAGTATTCTGTGCCATTGTATGTCTGATATACTACTTACAATATAAGTATTCTGTGCTATTGTATGTCTGATCTACTACTTACCATGTAAGTATTCTGTGCCATTGTATGTCTGATATACTACTTACAATATAAGTATTCTGTGCTATTGTATGTCTGATCTACTACTTACCATGTAAGTATTCTGTGCCATTGTATGTCTGATATACTTCTTACCATGTAAGTATTCTGTGCCATTGTATGTCTGATATACTACTTACCATATAAGTATTCTGTGCTATTGTATGTCTGATCTACTACTTACCATGTAAGTATTCTGTGCCATTTTATGTCTGATAGACTACTTACCACGTTAGTATTCTGTGCCATTGTATGTCTGATATACTATTTACCACGTTAGTATTTTGTGCCATTGTATGTCTGTTATACTACTTACCATGTAAGTATTCTGTGCCATTGTATGTCTGATATACTACTTACCATATAAGTATTCTGTGCTATTGTATGTCTGATCTACTACTTACCATGTAAGTATTCTGTGCCATTGTATGTCTGATATACTACTTACAATATAAGTTTTCTGTGCCATTGTATGTCTGTTATACTACTTACCATGTAAGTATTCTGTGCCATTGTATGTCTGATATACTACTTACCATATAAGTATTCTGTGCTATTGTATGTCTGATCTACTACTTACCATGTAAGTATTCTGTGCCATTTTATGTCTGATAGACTACTTACCACGTTAGTATTCTGTGCCATTGTATGTCTGATATACTATTTACCACGTTAGTATTCTGTGCCATTGTATGTCTGATATACTACTTACCATATAAGTATTCTGTGCCATTTTATGTCTGATAGACTACTTACCACGTTAGTATTCTGTGCCATTGTATGTCTGATATACTACTTACCATATAAGTATTCTGTGCCATTGTTTGTCTGATATACTACTTACCATATAAGTATTCTGTGCCATTGTATGTCTGATATACTACTTACCATGTAAGTATTCTGTGCCATTGTATGTCTGATATACTACTTACCATATAAGTATTCTGTGCCATTGTATGTCTGATATACTACTTACCATGTAAGTATTCTGTGCCATTGTATGTCTGATATACTACTTACCATGTAAGTAGTATGTGCCATTGTATGTCTGATATACTACTTACCATGTAAGTATTCCGTGCCACTCTTATATCCAGTGATGCATTTTCATTACCAGGGTTAATGATAGCCATTTCAAGTCTCTCTATCTGCAACAAAAGACATGAAGAAATATTCTATATTACTCTAGATGTTTAACTGACCATAAATAATGTACCTGTGGGAGTTACATTGTTAGTGTGTTACATGCCAATGTGCATATTACATGTACATAACAAGCATGCAACAAGCCAATGACCCTCCTTTAATACAGAATATGATGGCTTAGTCTTTTCCATTCCAAAATTTGCCATTGCATGTCTGATATACTACTAAGACCTTTCTTGAACTATAAATTTTCCTGTTTCTTTGTTGCTGTATAGACCCTAAATACATTTAATAGACATTGCTAACATTCCTTAGCACTACATCCTGACTTATGGATCCTGCTGAGTATCGTCGTAGAAGTAGAAGTAGAAGTGGTATGAAATACTGAAATATATTATTTTGTATTAAGTGCTTTTTTTTTTCTCTAAAGTTGTTCCACTCTTTATGATTTCTTTATACTCGATCTACAAATGAAAAAAACTCCTTTTTTCTCATAGTTGTTTTTTTAACACACTCTCATTTTAAAACAATTCTCATCAGCTTGAAACTTTTCACTGTGGAAGTGTAACAATGTGCTCCCGGCAGAAATGTTACACCCAGAGAGGCATCTGAAATAATAACTCAACATTTAAGCTTGAAAATCATATAAAATTCCCTTTTAGTTCAAAAAATATGTTATTGTTCAATGATATATTATTTATTCCTTTGTTTTTAAACTTTATTCCGTTATAATTGGACAAGTTTCATTTGGATCAATAACTGAATGAACTTGATGGCAATACACATTAATAAGGAAATGAGAATAGAAAAATGAGAAAATACAGCTTTGCATCCATTTTGTACACAAATTCAATAAATTCTATATTTCAAAGGTGACAGATCATGTGACTTTGCAACAATACGTCTAATTTAATTTCATAAACTTGTTAGTTGTCATCAGATATGCCCTGCAGATATAAGGCTTGCGGGCAAATTTTTGCAGAATGATTGTCATCTTTCCGAGGAGGGATAATGCCCCCCCCCCCCCATCATAACATTTTTAAGGTGAAGTACATGCCTTGCCATTCTACATGCAAAGATGCTTTGAAACCATTCACAACGACACACACATAAAACTTACCAACTTTTATTTAAGTGAACCCACAGTTAACTTATTGAGTATAGAATTAGAAAGGGAAAACAAAATAAAAACTACACTTAGTTGTACAACACACAATGCACACATATGCAGGTCAGTGGTAAATACATGTACATGTAGTAGGTACTTTTAAATCAAATTAGAAGTTCTCTTCTGTAGCAGTAATCACTCAAATAGAACCTTATGCACTGATGGTTGAAAGGATGTTCTCCATCGTCGACAGACATCTATAGGACACAGAGATTAATTACATGTCCCTAATATTTCAATTTGATCAGAACTTATCAAGCCACTTTGTAAATGTTTTGAGCTAACTCGATGTGTTTAAAATGAAAGTATCATTATTGTGACCTTGATTTCTTACAGTTGCCCTTTCTGAATTATCCCTTCATACGTGCTTTAAGATGCGTACCGGTATACATAAAAGGGTAAAACCATACTACATGTACATACTGTTCTATACAAACAAAGTTACTAATTGATATCACTTTTGATAAATTAGTTGCACATGACTTTGTACAAGGTTTTGCTAGATTACAGTAAAGATTCATCCTTATGTGTGTGTTTGTCTAACAGCACTTTAGAAAAAAAAATCTCTGCACAAATATATGGCAGTTGCATGACTGTGTGTTTATAAATATAAATATATACATACATACATACATGTATAGCCAGCGCAGTTCCAGAGATAAATTATTATTCCAGATTCCCCAGGACAAAACTAAAGTAACTCTCGAGGACCGTGCTTTTGCTATTGCTGCCCCCAAACTATGGAATAGCTTGCCAATAGAAATATGAAGCTCTCCATCTCTCAATGTCTTCAAATCCAAATTAAAAACATATTTTTTCAATTAAGAGAAACTATTCTGTAGAATTTAGTTTTTTTAAAGGAGCTCTGAACCAGGGCAGCTGAATATATTTTGTACAAAAGATGTGCTATATAAATTTATTATTATTATTATTATTATTATTATTATTTATCTACCCAGCCCTCACAGAGTCTCTATCTTAATATTAGTGAGTTTGTTCTGGTCACATATTATTTTGGGGCCCACCCTCACATCTCTCCCACCCCACCCCCACCCCACGTACACACCCACAGGCACACAAACATCGTCACCTCCTTTCTTTCTACCGTAAAAGGATCTTATCTACTACAGTGTAAATTGATCAATGTGTCTGAACTATCTATTTGCTTTCACCCTCATATCCTCCCCCTCACACACACACACGCACACACACACACACACACACACACACACTTCCCTTATCCCACCATGACAGGGTCCTACCTTCTGCATCATGCTATTGATGAGAGTGTTTTGATCAACCACTTGTTTTCTGAGTTGTGTTATTTCACTGCTAGATTCATTCTGGGTCCGTGCAGCCGTCTCACCTGCTGTGAATTATAATAATTATCTTCAGTTTAATTAAAAATTACATAAGTATACATAAATGGATAATAATCAAAAATCTTCATGTTCAGCTGAAATGTTCAAGTATGGCAAAAGACAATAGTAAGTCAAAATTAGTTATATTTATATAATTATATTTAAATATTTTGAGCCAGCTTACAAGAATGCCATTGCTTTTAAAAGTAGCCCATGGCTTTTGTCTCTCCTAACCACATGTCCATACCATCTCAATCTAGCCATCCATGTCTCCTGTGACTTCCTACAGATACGGTAGGAGATCATTCTCATTTCAGCCTGTTCCAACACTAGATGACTTCATTGCTCTATACGAAACATCAAGCACTCAAGTCACTAAGAGCAACACAATGAATCAAACCAAAGACTTCACCATAGGCAGTATCAATTTGGTTTATATCCAGCACCTTTAACTAGAGCCTAGATCTACAGACCTAGGCCTACATCTAGATTTATATCTATGTAGTCTAACCTTATATCTGGGTATCTACATGTCACTTTTAACACATAATGAATGTGCAAAATGATGACATCATCACATACTGGTGCTTAAATTAACACATTTATTATATTACCATGAAGTTTTATCATTTCAATTCAATTTTAATTCAATTTATTATTTCATAATAAATCACATACAATATATATACTTCATTGATTGTGATGTCATATGCCATGTTCATGCAGGCGCGTACGCAGGATTTTTTCAAGGGGGGGGTTTTAACATTTGTAAATCGGTCCGAAAATTTCGCAACGACTCAGCCAGCCGCTGAATAAGCGGGGGGGGGGGGGGGGGGGTAAGAGGACACTTTTTTTTTTTTTTTTGGTCTCGAAATTTGGAAATTTGACATTTTGCTCCGTTGGGGGGGGGTAAGGTCACCTTTTTTAGGTCGGCCATGGGAATAATTTTTTTTTTTTTTTTTTTTTTAATAATTAAAAAAAAAAAAAAAAAAAAAAAAAAAAAAAATCCAAAAGGGGGGGGGGGGGGGGGGGGTTTTTTTTATACACAAATTCCATTTAACCCCCCAAACCCCCCCCCCCCCCCCCCCTGCGTACGCGCCTGTGTTCATGTATAGTATATGTGAGTAGTACTTCTGTACATGGAATGTGACATCGTTATGTATTTCTATACAATGGACCAATTAGGTAATTGCACATTTTCTCTTTATAATGTTTATAAAAAACAAAGAGGAAAAAAACTATTTGGAAAAAGTTATTTCACAAATTATGTCAAATATAGTCATATCTAACATGCTCTAAATGAATAAGTAGCCACCAACCCTACATATTGGTATTGTATTAAACTATTGTTCATTGTAGAAAGAATGAATAGAAATGTATATTCACTAACCTTTTGAAGTTATGGTGCCAAGTAAGAGAAGAACAAAGAAGACAATGATTGTAATGATAACAGCAATCAATAAGAAGATTGTACATGGATGCCTCAGCACCGAACCAATACAACTACCAGGACTTTTAGGTTTGACAGGATCTGATTGACTTGGGTATGTCCTGGTATCAAGTGTGTCATCATCTTCATTTCTATAGCTGTCATACAGAGGGTTCGTTTTCTTTCTGCATTAAACAAACAAAAACATTAGAATTGTATTATCTTCATTCTCTATAGCTCTTATTCAGAGAATTGTTCTTTTCAGCCAAAAAAACTTAATCATTACCCTAATCTTGAAAAGTAATGAACCTTAGTTATAAAAATGAACCCCAATAGAAAAACTTCTCAGAATTATCACTTAATAGTGATGGCACCCAAAATATTGTATACACCCATGAATCCATACGGTATATAGAAATATACATTCACATACATGTAACTAGAGTGAATGGCCCATTAAAGTACAAAGGTAGATTGTGAAATAACAGCAATATGCAAAACTGAACTTTGGTCAGGCTCATGCACAGTTTTGCTTTCAATTTAACGAAACTGGAACATACATTGTAGACTTCCGATGTGATTTGTAAATAAATCAGTCTTCAAGACAGGAGATTGAAATGAAAAGAACATATCTGCAACATCAATAGGAACATTCTCAAAAACAAAAAATGATATCAGTATATGAAAGAAAAAATTGTAATACATTGTAAAATAGAGTTTTAAACAATGCAAGACAAAACTTAAGGTCAGGTTTAATATTTTGGTACAATTTCCCCCAAGAACCCCCATTCTATACCAAAACCAAAGGAAGTAAAAGTAATAAGATTTCACTCTCCCCAAGAATCCCCATTCTACCAAAGGAAGTTAAAGTGATTAGATTTCACATAAACACTGAAACCATTATTCTCTAGTTCAACTTCAAAGACAATGAAAGAAGACAAAACACCCAATTCAAATTTATGTACATGCATCTACATGTAAGTGTAGTGTGCAAGGTTGTACATAATATTGCAAATATTGGGTGTCTCAAAAAACAAATTTACTTGAAAAGACATGGCCTTTATCAAATTGGAATGAGATGGCTCGAAGAATATTATACATAATGGACACACTATACACAAAAAGTAACTATCACCTCAGTGTTTTATAGCAAACACTGCCACTAGAACCATTAGAGAAGGTCATGATTTCTTGATGAATTACCTGTGACACATTTTAGATTGATATCCCATTTGTGAAATGTAATGAATATTCATTCAAGCTTTTATTATAAGGAAGAAGCCAAATCAATATTCAATTTATTTTTGTTGTTGTTGAATATAACTGATTAACCAAATGTTGCTTATAAAAAATAATCACTGTACGATTCTCTTCGAGCCATATGCTGAATTCTGGTAGGCTGGTCGCAGGCCAGGCTAAGAACCTAAATCTGAGGACTTAGAATCCTTACTACTTAGTTCTATTATCTTCATGATATCATATTGCATACTAGTACTGTGTACATACAAGTCCACCCTGATACAAACCTTGGTTTCTTCTCAACAGATTCTGTGAGCTGAGCAAGTGAGTTAGTAGTGCTTTGCTGGAAGAGAATGGCTTGATCCACTTCTGTATGTGAAGTAGGAAGACTGTTAGGTGAACCATATACAGATGGTTTATTGCTTTGTCTTTGAAGAGCAGACTGATTCACCTCTTCATAGAAATGGTGGCCATGATGATGTGGCCTCCCATTGTAAGCAGGTGGATTCTTATAAGAAGGTGAAACTGAAATTTGAAAAAATCATAAATCCAAATACTAATAATACATTATTGAAAGATAAACAGAGAAGTAAAGTAAAGTTTGCTATTCCATAGTTAAGTTAAGAAAGAATGAAAATTACAAATAAATATAGATCACTTGAATAGAAACAATACCAGAGGTGTGATACATGTAAATATTGATTTAGCTATCAATCAGTTATGACAAAATACTGTGTCATATACCAGTATCAAGTTTTCCAACTTGGAAACAAAAATGATCATGGTTAAATACAAAGATTGTATAAAGTGAGGTTATAATTCACAGACCTGCATTTTCCATTCAATCTCTAAAGAATTTGCTTTCATTTTGGTCATTTTAATATTGATGCAAAAAGAGAAAACATACCCTTACACAATCCATAAATTAGTTTGTACTTTAAATAATAGGATGTAGATATTTCAGTGAACTACTTCCTCTGTTCTACCTACTGTGGAAATGTGGGAATGATTCATTTCTAGAAGGTCAACACACTTTTCTAGTATTACTAACACCTCAATATATACATATACATGTACATGTATCTGTTCATACTTGGAAATTTAAAAAATCATTGTCAATTCTATGTGTTGGGGGAGGGGTCTTGGTATGTGTTGTCTTGTTTAAATTGTTTTCTATTGTTTCTTGGTGTAACTGGTAAATACATGTACTGTATGACCAGATCCATGATATGGCTCAAAAACACCAATAGTCCTAATGTACATACTTGTCACAAATGTAACAACTGAGCAAATGAGTGAAATATATATTTTCTCTGAATAGATGTGATTGATTAATCCAAGTATTTTGAAAGCTTTGAATTCCTATTTTCTAGTTGTAGAAAATACATTAAATATGAATATAAAAGATTTGCATGACTTACTGGTAGACCTAAGCCTACAGCAGTAAACTTGGAATACTGCTGATTTTATGAGTTTTTTCTTGTCTTTCATTATGCTAATTCTTAGTCATACTAAAGATAATACAAATGTAAAAAATAAAAATCACACATCACTAAAAACACAAATTATTCCAATTTCCTACATGTACTATGACAAATAATGTACATTTTTGCATGGAAATCAATGGATGATACAATTATTACTTTTACAAAATTATGTTGGATTGCAGTAATTTTGTGACAATACTTGTCACAAAGATATTTTTAAAGTAAATTACTAATTTGCTAAATGTTAGTAGTGGCTCTCTGCTCATGATATTGTTTTTGACCTGCAGACCTTAGGATTTTCCTGCCAGGAAACAGAGATTGCTTTACAGAGATCTGCCTTTGTTTCCAATATCACGATTGCTTCTTGAGCTGCTTTATTTTGTATCATTCAGGAACTACCATCAATGATCCCTTCCTGAAGCTCTGCTGGGTATATATATATCCTTTCTCTCTCTCTCTCTCTCTCTCTCTATCATTTCCCCTGTCACTCCTTTTCCTCTATGATGTAAATCTTACCAGAAAATTTTCTTAAAAATCACAAAAGATTAGTGAGGCCAAAGTATATTCTTTTCACTTATATGCACATGTACCTCCGTCTTTTCATGTTGTGTTTAATATATTTTTCAAGCATTGATAGTATCACTAAAATAGAGATATGATTTTTAGTTTGTTTTTTAGTTTGTTTGCTCAAGGGAGGGGGTGGATCTTAAATAAAAGCTCTATCAAAATGAGCACCCAAAAATATTTTACAACATATTATACCTTTCACTAAAATTTGGCCTTTACTCACTTCAGTAATCAGTACGTGTCCCTTAATTGATCTTGAACAAATTAAAATAATTGTGTCAATGAACTCCAATTTCCTGATTATAAGTACCGGTAGGTCAAATTAGCCTTGATATGTAGAATTTTTTATCAAACAGTCTGAAGGATTTTTTTTTTTAATTATATGAAGAAGCTAGATGTACTTTACATGTACATGCACATGCACATGTACTCAAAGTCAAATCAAATTATACTAGAAGTCAATCACCATCAATTAGTTAATGAGTAACTACAGTTTGTATGTACAGTGTACATACTATTGTAATATACAGATTTGTTTTCTTTGAATAGTAGCCAGAAACAAATCCTTGACCATGAACACAATACAATAGGCCACACATCTTACAAAATATTTATTCAGTAGTAACCAAGATTACAGGGCCTCTCAGGAAAACAGTTTTAATACTGAGAGTTACCCTGTTGAAATATAACCAAAAATTAAATAAATAAGATTAGACATTCTTGGAGCTAGAGTACATGTTCTTGAGATTTGTTTGTCTAGTGCTCCTTGAACTCATTCATCTGGTCAGAAGAAGGGACACAGCTGTACACATGCATGCTAAATATTTTGTCTCTATATTTTATTTTTAACCTTATAAGTAATGAGTTACTGACCAAAGAGCGTACAGTGTATTGTATTAAAATGATTACTGGATTCAATTCGATTTGCTTTGTTTTAAAATGTTCTAACCACATCACTGGGGAAGATTCCTATCACTTGTAGTTTAAAGGGGTGCCACAGCGAAAGTATTTGGCTTTAACTAGTCAAGATTGACTGGATCAAGAAGCCTACCTTGGTCAATATTAAGCAAGGAAGACATGTAGTTCATATTTATGCAGGTCATAGGCTTAGCCACATGTGCCAGAGCTTGAACTCATCTTTCTATTCTAAGTCGAGTGATTAAACCACTTGACTGTGACAACTCTAAATATTTATAAAAATGATTTAATATTTCTGATAACCCATAATTCTATGTTGCTCATGACATTATTGTGCAATATCTCTTAATTGTCAATTACCTTACTTTTAGAGTTTTAAGTGTGTTCTGTGTTCTGGGTTGGGATAGCCCTAGAAGAGGTGTCAAGGTCGAGTGGATATGTATGATGTTTAAATAAAATAAACATGTTGAGGAACTTGGGGGATCAACACTAACCTGTATGTCAATTTTGATTGTACTGTTCAAAGTGATGTACTGTAGCTAAACATTTATTGAAAACTCAGTAATTACAGGTACATGTGTAGTTGTTTTGAATGAAAATGGGAGAATAAACAAAAGCTCTGGTGAAAACATGAGAATTCTTTTTTACTACGAGTTGTTGTCAATTGAAATCATGAATACTAAAGGGAATATATTTATATGTCCAGGATACAATATATTCATTAGTGAGTACATGTACATGTACGTCACATGCCAAATGACTTAGCAAAACTCTCATTTTTTTCAATACAAAAATTAAAGTAGATATTTTCTACAATTCCATGACTGAGCAGAATTTTTTCATGGGGCAACAAGAGTGAATGCCATAGTTTAGTGGGTACATGATGTGTATATCACTTTAGAGACAATACAGACATTACAGACATTAATCTTTACCAATGAAGAATTTTCTCATAGCATGCATCCTTATCGCTAAATCCTGTCATCAGGATTGCTCCAAACACTAGCTGTACATGTATTTCAGTGATTTCAACAATTTAACAATCACCATAACTTTTACAATATATGTTACATCTTTAAAAAACTGCTTGTTTTGCAACTTGTGTTGCTTTCACTTTGCCTTATTAAATGACAGCTCAGCACAATCTAAAGGGGAAGTCCACCCTGATATCAAGTTGGTTTTGATAGAAACAGAAAAATGAAACAAGTCAGTGAAAGTTTGAGCAAAAACACACTAGTATTAAAAATAAGAAAGTTATGTATTCTTGAATTTGCAATCAATCAAACACAAACTGGCAACTCTGTGACATATCTTGTGAGCTCCCCTCCCATTTGCCCTACAGGTATAAAAAACTCAAAAATCTATATTTTCCCTTAAGAAATAAAACTACAGTATTACTTCATCATTAACTAAGGAGATGAAAATTTCTGTACAGAGCAAATTGGGGAGGATCGCACGATATGTCATTGTGTTGCCAATTTGTGCTTCACTGAAGACAACTTCAAAAAGCCATAACTTTCCTGTTTTTAATCAGATTTTGCTCAAATGTTCACTTATTTCTTTCTCTCATTAAAACCACAATATTAGGCTGGACTTGCCCTTTTAAAGGGAGTACTTACGAGGTTGTTCTGTTGATAAGTTAGTTTCTTCTGTTCTCTGTCTTGGAGCTGGAACAGGAGGATCCTGAGGGAGCTGAGTAAATTTAAGATGATTCCTCATCTCTATGTCATCAGCATCAAATGCAACAGGAGATAGTTCATATGGATTCTCATCAGGCATTTGCTGGATATTGAGGTTTGCTGGTTTTGCTATTGACATGATGCTGGATGATTATGCATCAAACGCACAGGAAGACTGGATCTGCATAAATTAGATGAATTAAGCATATATTGTTTCTTGAAGAATTCGATCAAATCAGATCAATATCGATGTGGAGAATTGTTCTCCCCACATAATGACGTTCATTTTTAGAGATAATATGTAGTCCGCACCCTTTACTGTTAATAGAGATACACAGATCTTTACAAATACTTCCAGATGGCCTGCTGGTAAGCCTATAGATAGTATGATTAGTATCATCTCTCTTATATTTTGACAAAACATGTTTCAGTAGCGATAGCATAAATATAGATTCTCCCTCTTGCATTTGTATGTACTGTACAAGTGTATGAACATGTACAACTGTATGCAGGGACTCTTTATGTATTCCTAATATGGGATTTTCCTAGGGGGGACATCATATCAAATGTCCCCCATGTTTTGTCAGAAAAGAAGAGGGACCACCAGGGAGCAACAATTTTGTATACAAAATCCCACGAATTGGCAAAAAAACAACAAAAAAATATGCTCTTACCCTCCTGGGGGGGGGGGGGGTAGTGAGTACTATTTATTATAATTTCCCCCCCCCCCCCCAGGAGGAATGGGAAAATTGCTGGGATATGGGATATTTTGCTCAGTGGGGGGGGGGGGTAAGGCTGTGGTTATGTCACAAATGTTTGTGGTGCCACATTGATTCACCTCAATTAAAAAGATTACTTCACTTGATCCATCACACAAGCTTCATCACAAGCAAGAACTCCATCAAAAACAGGTCCAGATTCACACACACAAATTTGTATCAATAAATATTGATTGTTATATTAATTAATATAAAATTGATTATTGAATGAAAATTGGCTTATCCTTGTTAGCTATAGCTAGTCTTAATATATATTTCAAAATTGTACATGTAGTTCACTTTTGTTGAATTTTCTTTGTTTTACAGCCCACGACGAAGGCTATCTAAGGTCGGAAGCTTAAATAAAAATATAAGTAAATACTCATAAATGAATGACACACGCCTTTTAAGACTGAAACAACGACAACAACAACTTGGCTACAATAAACAAGTGGTGATATCCGCTACATGTACGTCCCATATGGTCTTGCAGTCTTTCAATTTATTTTGCCCACAACACTGCCATGTTTAACAGTTGTCCACTTCTTACAATTATGTGTTATTTGGAATTCCTACAAATGGCTACCCCAGTAGTACATGTATACTCATTTTCCTAGTCATAGTACGCCTACTACTATATACCCATGCATATTTTTACTTGCACAGACACTAATTTTTATGGTACATACATGCACAGGTATAATTGGTACATGTATATAGTCTATGTGAGATAACACAAACTTTGCAGCTGCACCTTGGCACCAGCTTCTTCGGCATATGACATGATTGACAGTTTGACGCCCCGTTTGCATGTTTGGGATTACTGCAACAAGTAACAAGTAGCTGATTTTGAATTAATATTATAATAATGCACTGTAGATCTCTATACCCTAATTATAGGCCTAGTGTAATATACTATAAACTGGGCCTCTCTACTCTACTACCTACCAATACCATCATATCATCATAGCTAGTTCATTCAATTACCATGATGAAGGCATGAATGAGTATTACTATTACTAGACCTACAAACAAATAATAAAAACTATATATTAAAGTGTTCACTTACCGCATGTTCTCATAGAATGGTATACAAATGGACTAGAATTGCAAAGTAAATGGCACTGAGAAAACACCTATATCCTGGCTACTATACAATAACGAGATTCACCTGGCTGAGTAATAACAATACAGACACGGTGTGTACATTGCCTGCCTGCCTAAACATTATATACCGTAGTACTGTAGAAAACGAGTAGGCGGTCGCCGAATACACTCCACTCCACTCCAAACGCAACCCGATTTAAAAATGGGGTTCATACGTCACGTCTATTATCTGAGTAACAATAATAATCCCAGTGCATACGATACGTATTACGATCTCGCAGGAGCAAATCTGCAAATTGTAAATCTGATAATGAGACCATCTCATTTGCCTCAGGCCTCATAACCAGAGGGTTAAATATAGTATACTACTAAAAAATGCTACTGACTGTACACAGGGGCAGTGACCAGCCCGGGAGGGGTCGGAAACAAGTTCTCCTCGGTCGTAGCCCCTCCCCCTTCCCCCATCGAAAAAATGGGGGGGGGGGGGCAAAACGCATTTTCGCCCACGCCCACTTCAGCAGTAAAGGAGTAAAAATGGTCAGTATTTTTTTAACCAAAAAGCAAATAATAAATAATAAAACATGCAATGAATCACATAAAAATTTATATTACATTCAAAGAAAAGGCGAGTAAACAGGAACAAAATGTCCTTAAAGTTAAAGACCAGTTATGGTCATGCGATTGCAGCATTGTGAAAGAAACGTTGTGGAATCAATCAGAAAAGGTTGGTCATCGAGCATCTAGCATCTGCAAGGTTCTGGAATCATCAAAATGATAAGAAATTTGGCCCATTCTTCGTAAAGTTACAAGCACTATACACATGCAGAAAGATGTATATGGGACTACCCTATATCTCTCACAGACCATGAGAGAAACAAATTTACCAAATATATGAATTAGTAGGCGGTTTCCCGGCAATTTTTTTATCATCATGTATTAGTCAAAACATATTCTTTCACATGATTGGTAATGAGAGCTTCCATTTCATTTTTTGAAATTGGGGCGTTTCCAATACTGGTCTTTACCTTTAACATTCCGCATGCCCCTACATTTATTAATGGAGGATTTTATAATAGCGATACGCGCATATCGTGGAAATATTGTGAGAGGATGGGAAAGCGTGTGTTTTTTTATGATAGGGGTGAGAAGACATGGGCCCCTGAACACTGGCGTACTGATGGGGGGGGTCAGTTCCCCCCCCCCCCCCCCCCAAATAAAATTCAAACGTGGTGTATTGCTAATACCATGATAACATTCGATACCAGTAATTTACAAATTTACTGAAATTACATGATTTTCGATGATTTTTCTCAATTTCTTTTGTAATTTTGTTGTTTGATTGCCTTCAAGACAGGGCCTGCAGAACAACAAGACAATACAAGTTATTTTTATTTGGTCTTTGCAAACAAGTTACATAAAAAATTGTTTTCCACTGGCGTTACAGTCATATTCAACAAAATACATAATTACAAGAAATAAATACATCACGTTTATAGAATGAAATAGATGAACTAAGGAACAAATACATGCAAAAGATAGTGAAGCGACAACAATGGTCATTGGTACTTAATCATGAGTTTCAGAATTAAGCCTTGGTCATTGGTATTTCAAATCATATAATTAATTTCCGAGTTCCGACACAGAAGTTTAATGTAACCTGTGAGTTGAATTTATGAACAGAGTCGGGTACAAATGAATATCTGAATCGTGAAAGACGGGTTAATGGGGTGGGGCGAAGTCGGATACGATTAAATGAATAAAATAAATGAAGTGGATGGGTAATGTCTTTCATGATTGCACAAACTTTATCAACAATTTGCTCAGTAGAGACTCGACAGAAGCTAATTCTACCCCAATTATGCGTTGTGCTATTTTACGTGGCCTTTCCAATTTCTTCTCGTCCTGTTTTGAGAGATTGTCAATTGAACATATTATAATATTAAAAAGCAGGACACTCTTTATTATTGAATTGTAGAACAGGGTCAGGATAATTGCATCTATATGGAAACTTTTCAACTTACGCATAAAAAAAACCCTCTTGTTAGCTTTCTTATACACCGATTGTGTGTTATCCCTCCATGATAATTTGTCATTTAAGACAGTTCCAAGATACTTATAGTTCCCAACCTGTCCAATCGCCTCATTATGAATAATCACATTCTCGTGGTCTTTACCTTTTCGACGGAAGTCGATTACCATTTCTTTGGTTTTGGTTGTGTGTAATGATCAGCGGGGTTCGGGGGCTCGAGCCCCCTCACTTTTTTTAATAAAGAAAGAAAGAAATAGGGAAATGGGGTATCAAAATATGCTTATCTGACCGTAATTAAATGCGTAAAACCCCTGGGCTTACGGGGCTCTGCCCCTGGACCCAACCAAGGGCCCTAAGGCGGGCCCATGGATGCTCATCTGACCGTAATTATATACATATACCTAATATACCTAAAACCCCTGAGCTTCCGGTGGCCAAGGTGAGCCCCCTGGAATGCTTCCCCCCCCCCCCCCCCCCCATCCCACACTGCTTCCGGCGCGCTTGAATGTGTGGATAAAATCGTATTAAGATTAGTCTTTTATTTGTGTTATCAAAAATTTACCGGTAGGTTCCAAATTACAAAATTCAAAATTAGCTACCTTGCAAAATGATACAGATAATGTAGGCCTATAAGGGCATGGTAACGCAAAAATGTAAAGGCTTCTGATTTGAATTTGTGCCTAGATCTTGAGTACCTGCCCCCGATCCGCCAATGGCTTGTTTGTTCGGATACCATCGAGATTAAAGCATCCATCTCGATGCCGTCATAAATCTTGGCCGAGGTTTACACTGTTTTGAGAGGTTCTGGTTAAACTATGCGCAAGATCTAGAGGTGATCTCCAATAGTACTATTTGCTGAGGGGCGGGCGGAGTCACCGAGGCCCATAGTCCTAACCAGTACCTCGAATTGAAGGCATGGTATATTTGTTTTATGTACTTCATCAAAAATTGATTTTTAAAAAATATTTATATATACAATTTTTGGAGAAAAACATTAAATTTAGAATTTAAAAAATGTTATCGAAAAGAAATTTATTTTTTTTAATTTTTTTTATTAAATTGAGATTTTGAAGGAAAAAAAGGAGAAAAAAGACATTTCAACTCCCAAATAGTAACTTATAATAATTGAAATATTTCTGGTCACGTATCGAACTCTCAACCAATCAAAAACCAATACATTTTTTATGCAGGATATAATAGTTTCTGCGAAAGTTCAGCTCCAAAGGCAATGATGTACCTGTCGAATATTCTTACGCAGCAGCATTATACAATACTCGTGCTGTCATGCAGGATCGCGTATGTCGTACACAATAATCCGGAAGCCTATACTACTCCGAAAGAGGAATACCACAAAGATGACAGTTAGGAAATAAAGATACAAATATTATACTCCCGGTGTGTGTACTATTTCTGAATGCGTGGTCCTTCCTGGTCGGAATCATACGGCCTATAAATTGAATTTGTTGAGCAAATCCAATAAGCGTAACGATATGCGGAGTATCCGAGCTTTAATAAGAAGAAGTTCGTGGATCCTTGTTTTACTGATCGTGCAATATATATATACTTCCTGTCCGGAAAACAAAACAAACAATTAATAAAATCCAACGTATCTAATTTGGCTTTGGCGAGTTTTCAGATAAGATTTAGCCATCAACGAGTTCAACTGACTGCATGTTATGTCTCTTGCCATATGATCCATACCTTCCCTCCACTGTCAATGATTCTATTTTAAAGATGACACTTCACTATCTTTACAAAATTCATGCCAATCGCCTGCACTCCATACCCTCCAACTAAGGATTTTATAACATATTCACAGCAGCCTACTACGGTGACCCGACATTTGCTCCGGCGACAATTGCTCCGGGCTTTATTTCGTCTAAGATGTAGGGTTAGGGTTAGGGTTTCAATAGGGTTTTATGTTAGGTTTAGGGTTAGGTTTAGGGTAGGGTATAGTGTTGAATCCAGGGTTGAAGTTAGCCATTCGATTAGTGTATGAAATTTGCAGCGGAGCAATTGTCGCCGGAGCAAATGTCATGGAATCGCCTACTACTTCGAATGCGATATACTCGCTGATCTCCGAAAAGCGGAGGGACAACAACAGAGAGAGAGGCATCTGAAACAGTGCTTTAAATCAGGGACATGCTATGTCCCTGTTTAAACGTTATGTATGATTTTAGCCATGGAAATATTTCACTAAACGTAACAACATTTGTATACTATTAAAAAGACCTATGTATTTTTAATCGAGGAATATATAGTCAGGATTGATCTATCGATTGATTAAAAATGTGAGAGATTTATGGACTGATAGACTATACTAACTAACTGATTAGCCGATTGATTGATTGATTTATTGAATTGGCTGGTTGGTTGGTTGGTTGGTTGGATAATGTAAGGCTACTGGTATACTTACATTCGAGCTCTGCACTTTCAAGTATTCAGAATTTCCCAAACTTTCACGATGTTCAAGTTTTATAGTATGAGAAAAGATTTCCACCGAAGATAAGAAAGAAACGAGTCCGAATAGGCCTGCAGGAAATAGCCATAAGCTATGTAAAATAGACCGAACGTCTATATCAACAACGTCCGTGTATATACACTGAATGAATACAGCAAACTACACCGGTTACTGAGTAAAACAGAAAGCCATTGATGTTCATTCAAGCCATACTGAATTCCTTTTAAAAAGAGATTTACTGTTTGTCAATGACCCGAAATTATACGGATTAACTCATAGAATCATTATTGTTGCATGTGGAAATAGGGAAATAGATAGGCGGTCGATAGGAAGTAGCTGTAGCGGTATATCAGACAAATTAAAATGAGAAAATGTAATCAATAGACTTAATTGGGACAAATTAAAATGATAATCTTGACCAATAGCCCTATAAAATTATAGTTGCGTATATATGTACCGCGGTGTTCGACGTTTCGGATTTTACTTCCATGAATATACAGTACTGTTGTACATGATACAACCTAAAAAAATAGTCTCTTCTGACATCGCTTGATTGATTGCCACTTAAATCAGCTGTTAACGATTTGATGATATTCAGGGATATTTACAATATCTAAATTATCTACAGCAGTTCGTGCACCTCTTTTCTGTAGTGTTAACAGAATGGATTGGTTCATAAAGAGCAATTCCCCCACACGAATAAAAAAGATTGATTATTATACTGATTATGTACATATTTTATT